ACATCAACAGCCGAGTCGATCTAGCCATGTCCGTCCGTTTGTCCGTCCGTTCGTATGTACGAACGCAACGATCTCAGAACCTATAAGAGGTAGAGACTTGAAATTTTGGCTATAGTGCCCGCGATCGAGTTTGTTTCCGATATTCGATAACTTGCCCAGATTCCAAGTAATCGATAAAAGTCGATATCGAAATCCTGCATTTTTAGCAATTTCTGCAAATAATATGAGCTAGTGTCACCAAACTTGACATGTAGCTTCAAGAATAGTATATATATATCAAGTATTTTTCATTTTATATCTATCGCCTGTCGGAAGAAGAGGGTTCAGGGTATCCTCTAGTCGGGAGCTCCCGACTAGAACCTCTTACTTGTTTTATTTTATCCCCACGAATTTCCCTAGAATATCTATGATATCTACGTAAGGCTCAAAATTCGGAATTTAATTCAGAATATTGGAGAGCATGTTTGAAAGGAAGCAAATATGTATCCAGTATTCCATGTACCCCTCTATTTAGCTATTTACTTATAATTGCTTTATGCGCGCCTCTTTATTATTATTATTATATGAGCCCTATGTTCCACCCGATAAAGCTTCAAGTCGTAGACCGACCCTGAATTTACTGTTAGTTCCAATTGTTAACAAATAACGGTTAATTGCTTAACAGATGCGAAGTAGTTAGATCAATAAATCCACCTTATTAAGTACGATACCTGATAAAGATCTGGGTGAGTGATCACTCGCTCTTGACGATGCCAACTCAATCTGGACCCGAACCCTGTTCCAAAGTACCGACAAAGTGATTTACCCAATATGCATGTATAGATTTTGACAATGTGAAACGAGGCTCAATAAATGGTATATCAGCTATTGGGTCATAAATATCCACATCTATATATATATATATATAGTTACAAACAAAAAGTTTTACGAGGCGCACATAAAGATTAATTTAAAGATATGAAATCACAGCTAATAAAAGCTGCACATACCCCCCACACGTGGGAATTTGCTTTAAATTTAAGAAATCTAACCAGAGATGGACTCAGTCGTCCGAAATAGTTGGACCTTGCAGGTGCTCCGAATACGATCCAGTCACAAGTAGCTGCCGGCATGGATAACGGCAAGGATAAGGACGTAGGAGGCCTTGGCTATTATTATGGAGTACAACTATTAATCGTAGCATCTGTTTTCTATAATCGGTATAGGAGTTTCTCTCCGATGCAGTCAAACCCGAACCACCGAGAATGGATAATACAATCATTGAACTCACCGAGAAGGACCACCCCAAAAAGCAGCTGCCCTGGTACTATGCGCCCAGTTTTCTGCTTCTATGGGTCGCGCTCTTCTTTGCGGTGGTTTTTCCGCTCTTCAATTCGCTGCCCACACCGGTGAAAATTGAGGAGGAAGCTACGAAACCGGGTCAATTTGTGGCGGAGCGTGCTCAATACATATTGTTGGAGCTGGATCGTTTGGGTCCTAAAATCGTGGGCGATGAAATGAACGAGAAGACGATGGTGGAGTTTATGCTCAGGGAAATTGAAGCCGTGCGTGGGGAAATGCGACAGGATCTGTACGACTTGGAGGTCGATGTGCAACGGGCATCCGGCGCCTATATACACTGGGAAATGATCAACATGTACCAGGCCGTGCAGAATGTGGTTGTCAAGCTGAGCACGAAGAGCTCCAATAGCACATCCTATCTGCTCATCAACAGTCACTACGACACCAAGCCGGGCAGTGTGGGTAAGTGTGGAGCCAAGAAGCCGCTATATCGAGCCACAAGGCTAAGCCTGATTTGCTGCAGGTACTGGAGATGCTGGCTTCATGGTTGTCACCATGCTGGAGGTGATGCGGCAATTGGCCACATCCGAGCAAACGTTCGAGCATCCGATTGTCTTTCTATTCAACGGCGCCGAGGAGCAACCGCTGCAAGGCTCACATGCGTTCATCTCACAGCACAAATGGTCGCCCAACTGCAAGTGAGTAAGGTGTGAAATGTGTGTGAGAGCAGTCTCTAATTCACATTCTTAGGGCGCTGATCAATCTGGATTCCGCCGGCGCCGGCGGTCGTGAGATACTCTTTCAAGGCGGTCCAAATCACCCCTGGCTAATGCGGGTAAGTTGAGAGTTGGTTATGCTTTTGGCTCGGTCGAAGCTCACGTAGACCTTGCGTGGATCTTATCGGGCCAACGATATTGGTTTGATATCAAATTGTTATCAATGTTGCTTATCTGGCTTATCAGCTGCAAAATCTTGACTCTTTTAACTGATTACAGCACTATAGAGACGCCGCCAAGCATCCGTTTGCAACAACCATGGCCGAGGAGGTATTCCAGGCTGGCATCATACCCTCCGATACGGACTTTCGAATCTTCCGCGATTTTGGTCCAGTGCCAGGTGAGTGTGCCCCACTTCGCCCGTTTACAATCTATAAACCTCTTTTAATCAGGTCTGGATATGGCGGGTCAATATAATGGCTTCGTGTACCACACAAAATACGATCGCTTCGATGTGATATCCCGAGATTCTCTGCAGAATACGGGCGAGAATCTACTGTCTCTGGTGCGTAGTATCGGCAATGCGGAGGAGATGCACGATACTAAGGTACTTTCGCTCAGTAAAACGTTGCCAAAACCAATCTTGAGATAAGGCTTATCTTTTGTTAACTTTAGGCACACTCCGAGGGTCACTCGGTGTTCTTTGATTTCCTGGGCCTGTTCTTTGTCTACTATCTGGAGTCGACAGGCATTGCCCTCAACGTTTGCTTCGGCCTCGGCGGCATTATTCTGGTGTGCGTGTCCCTATGGCGCATGACAAGGACAACAGATCTGGGCATTGGATCCGTATCGGGCGCCTTTGGCATTATGTTTCTATTGGAGCTGGGCTCGTTTGTGCTAGCCCTAGGCCTGCCCATGCTCATGGCAGTGTTCTATGATGCCGGCGATCGCACCTTGACGTACTTCACCAACAGCTGGCTGGTAATCGGACTCTTCATTTGCCCCTCGGTCATTGGCCTCGTGTTGCCCTTCACACTCTACTACACCCTGAGGCCTAGTGTGAGTGCAATTTAACCTCCTTGTAAATCCGCTTTTTACCCTCGGGATTTCTTCTTTTTCTTTGCAGAGCAAAATACCCCACGCCTATCATCTGCATATGGCCGGCCACGCCCACTGTGTGTTTTTGGCAATTGTTTGTATTATATTGACTATCGCTGGTCTGCGCAGCGCGTATCTCTTCATGATCTCCCTGCTCTTCTATGTGGGTGCACTGACAATCAATTTGCTCAGCCGGCTGCACGATCGCGGTAGGTTTTAAATTGAATTCCAATTGGGAAGTGTGTTCCTTATATCTTGGCTATGGCTACAGGCTACTTCTGGTCGCTTGTGCTGTGCGCGTGCCAGGCAATGCCCTTTCTTTACTTCAGCTACTTGTTCCACGCTTTTCTTGTCATCTGCATTCCAATGACGGCGCGGAAGGGCACCGAGGTGAACCCGGATCTGCTGATTGCCCTCTTGTGTGCCTTGGGCTCAATACTGGCCCTGGGCTTTTTGGTAAGTCGAGCAACTGAAAATAACTATTATCCTTCTTTAGCTTACATCTATAAAGATTTGTATCTCTTGAGGCTATATAGAAAATTATGTTACTTACCTGCTCTACCTCTTAGGTTCCACTCATAAATATCTTCCGGCGACCGAATTGCATGATTGGCGGTCTGGCGCTCATAACCTTTATATTCTGCATGATATCCGTTTCGGACGTGGGTTTTCCCTATCGCCCTAAAACGAACGTGATGCGGGTTAACTTTTTGGTAAGCTAGCTTATTTATATATGCTTACCAGCATCGTCTATTAAAAACGACCCTGATTGCAGCAAGTGCATCGTAAATTCTATGAATATGATGGTTCCATCAGCCTGGAGGATTCGGGCTACTACTTCGACCTACAGGATCGTCGTCTGGAGCTGCCGCTGCGTGACAAAGTGGACTTCGACGGCCTGGTGCATCTCGAGGGCGAGTGCGATGCCCAAATGATGTGCGGTGTGCCCTGCTTCAATCATCGCTGGTGCGAGGCACGCCAGGCAGCTCGCTGGCTGCCCCGCAAGGAACCTGTCGAGGTGCCCGGCACCACAACCCTAGAGCTGCTGAACAAGACGATCTTAGCAGGCGGGTATACGGCACGTTATCAGTTCAAGCTGACGGGACCGGCACGCATGAGCATATTCCTGAAGCCCTTGGCTGGTGTGAAAATGCAGGACTGGTCCTTTTTGCGGGGTATGCTGGATAATCCTGGCACCTACAAGCCGCCATATCACATATTCTTTGCCTGGGGCGTCGACAGCTCGCCCATTGAATTTCACCTGGACCTGACGGTGCGTACTACTAGATATACTATCATCATATAAGTTAGTTATGTGCTCTTTGCAGAAAGTGAATGGCAATTTCCTTGAGCCAGTTTTCGAGATTGGCATCTCCGGTCATTATTTAAGTCATGTGCACAAGCGGGATGCGTACAGCGAGCAATTTATTGAGGATCTGCCAGATTTTGTGCACGCCATGGAATGGCCAGCCTCCTATGACCGCTATATATATTAATGATATTTAAGTACAATAAAATAGTTGAAAGAAAAATATAAATAAAAAACATTTCAATGTGTCTAAGCCCAACCCAACCCATGCAATTGTATTTGCTCTTCCTGGCTGCGGGCCCAGCTACTCTTTGTGGGCAAACAAAGGCCCAAAACTGGGCTAAAGATCAAACAAATGCCACTGGAGTAGTGCATTTCATAACGTAGTCGGAATAAATATTTAAGATTAAACAGAATTTCTAGCTCTGGTGGGTAGCAAACATTTGTGTAAATACAAACGCCACAAACTGTTGTAATAGCTGAAATTGTATGTCTGTGGCATCCACATTTCATTCAAGTTTTCTTTTTTTCGAGACGTATAAAATGTGTTGCATTGGGCCATTGGAAGACACACTTCGATTTGGTTAACACTCACGGAAAGATCACAGCCGAAAATAATGAAAATGAATTTCCTGGTGGTTCTATTCGTAGCCATCGCGCTTTTTGTATCGGCAAACGCGCAAACGACGGAGAGCATGACCTCCATCATCAGCGACATCAGCGATTCAATTTCCTCCGACTACTCGCCCACTAGCGACTATTACTCTTCCGACTACTCTACGTATCCCAGTTCCTATGACTACTACTATTCCGACTACTATGATGAAGTGACGACCACGAAGCCGTTCAAGCAGCAATTCCTATCGCTGCTCTTCAACAAGAAAGCTGGATAGAACTGAGACTCCGCCCAACCCGCCACATCCAGCAATAATTTGTTTCGTTAAAATGTGAAAATATACAACTTAATTAAAAGCCAAATAAAATTTAATTTAAAAACAAAAAAAAAAAAACAATTGTACCAATTGTAGTGGGGGGAGTGAATGACATTTGCACATGTCGTTTTGCACAGGTGTTGCCCAAGAATGAACCAACCCAATGAGGGCTCATTAACGCCTTTGGTCAAAATTGTTCACCTCTCTGTGAGCACGACTCCAACAAAGGTCAGCGCCAGACGGACGCCCGGACAGACAGCTAGACATGATCATGGTCAGGTGGCGTGGCAACAGTGTCTAGTATAAGTATAGTGATACTCGTCCGATGCTTTTCGGTTTAATGATGATGTTGTTGCCGCCTCCGCTATAGCTGCGACTATGGGTATATCCGCTTAGGAGTGGGGAGAGGGGAGAGGGGCGAGGGGGGTTTGGCTGCATTGCGCAATTTGATTTCATGTGGCTGTGGCACATCAGAATTTGCAGCTAAAGCTAAAGGTAAATGTCTACAATGTGTAGCTGACAAATTGATTTGAAATGCGAGACGTGTTCTTTGAATGCCACGATACAAGTTTATTTCTCGATAAACATACTCAATCAAAAACTGACCAAAATATTCAGTTACAGCGTTTAGACTACAGTGAAACGACCAATAGAAAGATTTCTAGAATCTTTTTAAGTAAATAAAAACTGAACAAATTTTTGAAACATATTTAAAAATAATGTAAAGCAGCCTCCAAGAATTTATATATTCAAAAATTTATCTTTTCGATGTCTCGAAGATTTTTAATTAAAATAATACAAAAAAATAGTAAAGAATTTTTGGGATTTTCTAAATTTGATTATAAATTAATTTGAGCCAATCACAGACAAACTCTAAATAATTATGTTTAGGAGTTTGAGACCAGGATTGAAAAATCTATTAAATTGTGGAAAAATGAACTGAAGAATAATTAATTTATCTAAAATATTTGTTTCTGTAATTTTCAAGAAAATTTTCAAAAATATTTGTTAAGTTTGAAAACTAACTAAAATAAAACGATTTGATTTTAATTCAAACTTTTTGTTCCAAACCTTAGACAGAAGCTTTTACTGAGGCGCCAAAAGCTGTTGTGGGCTATAAACAGTTCACTAGACAAATTGCAGATTTAACAACAATTTAGAAACAACAACACGCAAACAATGCACTTGAAGAAGTCGGGGTAGATTAAATCTGTTTTGGCCAGGCTGTGAGTTTGGCTTCTGATCTGTGCATCTTCCAAATGCTAAACACCCATCAATGGCCAAGCTGGAGCTAGAGTCGGAGACAGAGCCAGAGAAGCTCTGCTGCAAGCGTTGCAAGAGGCAGCTGTAAAGTTCAAGCATTCAGCATTCGGTACTCGAGTACTCGAAAGCAGCGCGGCACAAGATTCAAGATTTTGCTATAAATATTCAAACCTTTGGCGTTGGTGGCCACAGTTTCAAATCGAGACGCCGACAGAGACGCCACTCTAGAGCCCAGCACAGGATACAACCAACTAATGCGATACCTTGTAAGTACACATCCGTTTCATTCAGTTCAATTGGACTAATCCTCTGTCAGCTGCTGACTCTGGCAGCTCTGCTGCTGTGCACAACACATGCACGACCGCAAGGACCTGCCACGGAGCCAATCAAGATAATACGACAGGATCAGGAGGTGAACTTCGATGGCTCCTACAAGTATGGCTATGAGACCGAAAATGGCATTAATGTGGAGGAGGAGGGCTACCTCAAGAATGCTGGCACCGACAATGCAGGACCGGTGAGTGAGACCCCAAAAATCGCACAGCCATTTGGCATTTGCATCTGAAGCTGCCTCACGACATTGCCCCGCGGGGCTGACAAATTGTTCGGGTCATGTAATTAGCTGTGCATCTGTGCATTGTTTTCTGCTCTTTTTCGGCTTCTTTCTTTGCCTGGGTCTAAAAGGTCGCTCAGGGCTTCTTCTCCTACACCGCGCCCGATGGCACACCCATACGGATTACCTATGTGGCCGATGAGAACGGCTTCCAGCCGCAGGGCGATCATCTACCCACAGCTCCGCCCATACCACCAGCCATACAGCGGGCCTTGGATTACATAGCCACAGCACCACCGCCACCCGCTGAGCAGCAGAGCGCCTACACCGCACGCCGGGGCTAAGTAATCTCTCTCTCTCTCTCTGAGAGCACAGAGAAAGAAAAGTAGTGCGAGCGTGGGAGAGAGAGGCGAATTGTGAGAAGTGGAGACAGCGAAAATTTGCTTGTTATCCAAAATTGTTAAATCAAGAAATTAGAAACCATTCCGCACATGTAAATAAATATGCAAAATTAATAAACTGTGTCTAAACGGAGAGTTCTTGAGTCTTTAAAAATAAATTACTTAAATTTATTAATATACAAATAAAGAAAATGCAGTAGCTAAATAGCTAATGTGAGCCCTTCGATTAGGCAAGTGAACATAGAAACATCCGGGTCGGAATACAAGACTTATCTATGCTGATATATGTTATGTAATATATTAGCTATTAAAAGCATGTTGGATAATATAAAACATATATATAAATATAGATGATAAGTGCTCTTTAGCCAACTAGCAGAGCCCAATGCCAGGCTTAAAGCACCTGCAATCTTTAATATTTCATTAAAGAATATACTTCAAGTCGATTAAAAAGGCTTCAAATAGCAAATGCCTTGTTAGCAGTATGAAATGTTGCTACAAAATCTTTCTAGACCATATGAAGGCTTTCTACAATATTCTCTAGACCATACTCATACAAAATATATATAAAACAGCTTAATAGGCAAGTTTGTGGTGCCCTTTTGCAACTTCTATAGTGCCTCAAATAAATTTTGCATATTCTATCACATATAATAAAAAGGTTAAATATAGATCAATTTATGATTTCGCTGATTATTACCTGATTACCTGTTTTTTATTTCTCTTTCAAACCCACAATGAGATATTCTTCGTCTCCACACAGCATACTTTCAGGCAGTCGAGTAAACAGCCCAAGCAACTGGTTTAATGTGTTTCTGTGGTGCTGCTCATCGAATGGAGATGTTGCTCCACATGTCGTCACCTCTTACTTAATGCTCGCCAAAATTAGTCGATGTCAAAAGAAATGTTAGCGTTTCCGTGTCGTCGATGTCAAACACCGAAAATTAATTGAATCGATTGCCATAAGAAGAATGGTCTATCCGTTTAATCATACTGCGTGTTGGGTGGCAGCTGCTTTCCAGATAAATATGTCGTAAACGCCTCGTAAATCACGGTTAATAGATCGAGTTTTGAGCGCTTTGCAAATGTTGTCCGTTCAGCTCCGAGCTGGCCAGTTGGCCATAGCACACATAGAACGAGTGGATCTTCCGTAGGCCCGGTGGGCGTTGTGGATCGCTCATAAGTATATAAAGCTCTGGTCGTGGCTAAAACTGCTCATTGCTGATTAACCATGTTGCTGCGTCTAACGGTAAGTTTGGCAGCTGCTGCAGCTGCAGTTGGTCTAACCACGCCTCCCGCCTCCAATAGATTTGGCTACTGATCTGCGCTGCAGTTGCGCTGGCCCAGAGCGATGGTCGCTATCGTCCTGCGCCAACCACACCGGCCGTGCTAAGGGCGAGGGCTAATGCCAATGCCAATGCCAATGCGGGACGCTATGTGGCTGGCAATGATGGACGCTATCGCGGTGGCGGCGATGGGCGCTACAGTGGCGGCAACGATGGACGTTATGTGCACCAGGATGTCAAGTACCAGCACGATAATCGTCCTGGTGGTGACTACACTGGCGACAGCAATCCCTATGTGGCTGATAAGAACAAGTTCGGTGCTGGCGGCGGTGCTGGACGTGGCGGTGGTGGAGCCGGTGCCAGTGGAGCTAGCGGCAGTCGAGCTGGTGCTGGTGCTGGAGCTGGTGCGACAACTGCTGCTACTAAGCCACGCCCAAGTCCGTCGCTGCCACGCCCAACGCCTGCCGCTGATCTGCGGCCCAACTTGCCACAAGGACGCGGCACGGGCATTGGCAAAAACGGTTTCCTGATTCTGCGTCAAGAAGGCGAGGTGCAGGCCGATGGCTACAACTATCTGTAAGTGATCATATTCCTTAGAGTCATGCGATATTAAACCGAATCCCTGTGCCAGCTACGAGACGGAGAACGGCATTCTTGGCGAGGAGAGCGGACGCATTGAGAAGCAAACGGAGGGCGAAGCTCTGCGCTCCAAGGGCTACTACGAATACACCGGTGACGATGGCCTGCTCTACCGCGTCGACTATGTGGCCGATGAGAATGGCTTTGTGCCCGCCGGCGAACACATTCCCAAAGTGCCGGAGCACATACCCAGGCTGCTGGCCTATCTGAAGGAGCAGGGCGCTTTGTAAATATACATTAAAATCTATTTTGTTCGTTATTTCGGTTATCAGGAAATAAAAGAGTTATTAAAAAAAATGGTATGTATTAATTTCTGGATAATATACCAAGTACTACCAAATTATGCTCAAATATATGTAAATATGAAAGCAGTTGGAACTTGGGGAGCTCTTCAAAAAATATTGTAAGACGATGAACAAAACAGGAATCTCTCAGTTAGAAAATACTTTATTATTAGAAGAAAAAGCATTATAGATCAACTAGAATAACTACTAAAGCCTTTGGATAAGACAAGTCTGGGATTAGAAGCCGGTTTCTCGTTGCTCAGAGCTATAAAATAAATACATACAAGGATTCATTTGGCAAATATATTTCATTTTTTATATAAATATATATGAAGATTAGTTCAGGGTCGGCAAGATCTGCTGTTGTATATACTCGAGCACCTCATTAATAGTTGACTGCACTTTGGCGGGCTGCAATAAAGATAAATTTATCAAGCTGTCTTTTAAGCTTTGACATTTTAGCTGACTTACATCCTGTTCGGTATTGATCTTTGTATCCGCAAACTGCCCGGGATAAGGCAGCTGCTGGTCAGATTTTTGGTCTGCCAACGGAGTTTGGGGCTGCGTATACTCATAGGACTGAACCGGTAGGTAATGTAACTGGGGTTTAGTATCCCAGAGCCGGTTCTCGTTCACGTAGCTGAATTGGCGTTGATCCTCGTTGGTGCCATCGCCATCGCGAACCCATTCAAATTGAATAATTTGCCAGCCGGTGCCATTGTAGTTGAAGTCAATCATGAAGCGCAGATGATCGCGTGGTCCCAGAGCAAAGTTCTCCTCCGCCTCCTGCACACTGGCGGCCAGCTGCTGCTCGGCCTGCCGAAAGATGCCGCGCAAATCATTCGCATACGGTTGGCCGCTATCTCCGTATCCGCCATCGTAGGGCCTGGGATCGTGCCGATACTTGCCGCTGTCATCCGGTTGGTACCAGCCGGCCGAGCCATGCAGCTGGTGCGCATAATGTCCCGGCTTGGCTGGTGCTGTGGGCAGTGGCGGCTGCTGATCCTCCCCAGATCCTTGTGCCCGGCCCAGGCTTAACAGGAGAAAGGCAATGAACAAAGTTGTGTACATCTCGACTAGTTGAATGCGTTTAATTGTAGCTAATCCAATCACTGGCCAGGTTAGTTTCAGTTTCAATTGCACTCGAAGTGGGCATCGACTGGCAGCTAATTAATTGTCTGACTTTATGTAGAAGATGCGGCCGTTTAATTATTTAATTACCTAGTTTATTCGGTGGTTGCTGCGACTGATTGCTGCACGAGCCACACGGTCGAGTCTAATTGAAATTCTTTGCACACTAACAAGCCATAAAGTGGCTACCGAGTAATCCCAGTCACCAGGCCAAGTAACCCAACTCGTTTTCATAGACAGCTCCCAATTGCTTCTGACCTTTTGAACGCCGGCGACAAAAATATCTCAAAACGGAAACCAGTGTCGACAGCTGTCACAGTCGTACGGGGTAATCCGATGAGCCTCCGTCTTGTTTCAGTGCTAGAAATTGCGAAATATTTGCAGCAAAAGCTAAGAGTTTCTTGATTTAGATTGAACAAATAATTCAGAAAATTAATTTCAAAAAATAAGTAAGACAACGTAATCAGTTCCTTGTTAAATTTTTCTTAAAACCAGTTGAATTGTTGTCTATAAATATGCATTAAATTATTACAATACAAGAACTATTTAAATAATTACTAAGAAAAGCTAGAACTTTCCTCAAATTAAGTTGATTCCGCTTGCGCTCATCTTTAAGGCTATATGCAAACATGCTTACAATATAAATTCCACTCCGATCAAATGCACTTTAACCAGAAGCCACATTCAATGGATATTTCTAATCGCCTTATCATTGTAAATGTCGGAAGCTTGCATTTTTGTCTGGTTGGAGGCAATTTGTAAACAATTCAACGGATTTGATAGGATCCAAGTTAATTAGTGTCGTTTAAATGAAATTTAACGCTCATCATAAACAATAAAACGATCGTTTGCCTTAATGGGCATTCATAATAGCCGACAATCAATCAAAACCGGGCGCTAAGCACTCATCAATCATCAATCATCAGTCAGCTGTCAGCTGTCAGCAATGGGCATTCAAAACATGTTGGGAGCAAGTCAAAACACGCTTGGGCTACAAAGAATGTTTGAGCCGTGTGTGAAATTGAAAGTGAAAACGCCCACAGAGCTAAGCAAAAATCTTAAGTCTGAACTTCGCAAAGAAACTTTAACCTTTTACCTTGCCGACGGACATGAGTCAAAGAGAAATTAGTCATATCCGAATATGTACGAGCATAAGTTAACAAACTTGGTAGCTGATCTAAACTCTGACATTTAACCTTTTACCTTGCAGAGTGGATAACAGAAATTCACAAAAATCAAATTAAATAAGGAACATAAAATACCTTGAAATGCTTTCAATATGAGGCGTAACCAAGCCCTAAGACAATCAAATGTATTTTGACATTTTTGTCAGATAACAATTGTTTGTTTTTTGACAACTTCCAAAAGCTGGTCTGCAAAAATTAATATTTTTGTTATAGTTAATTAAACACGCCAAGTCTAGAACCGACTAAAACAATGATAAAACAAGATACCAGTTAGATTAATAACCAGTTGTTTTAGTTGCTGCATATGCAAATTTTTGCACCTGGCATATTTATTTCACATAATATAAAACACATACAGGTAAGCAGAGATACAATATATCTGTAAGTGTGATGAGTTTTGGCTGCGCTAATCCAAACAATGCGTAATTTGGTGTTTTGCATGCAATTAATTTATTTCAGCTCCCCTCAGCTGACTCCACCATAAATAATCAACACACAAGATTGACAAATACCAACGAAATTCACGAAACAACAAGCGAATCTGTCGCCACATTTAAGAGTTTTTTTTTTGTTAAATTATTTAATTGCATTTCTGTGGTGGCGCCCATGGGCCTAGACGATTAAATTTTCGGCGTCACGATTTTAACCCTTGGTCGTATAAAAACAATAAAAACAAATCTCAACCTTGAACTTAAATTTACTTGTTTTGTGAAATTCCTTTAGACTGAGTGCGCAACTGATAAATTTCTGTTTAAAAATCACAACAACATTCATCTTCTCTCCTCCACAGGCTGTGATTTTATTCAGATGGTAATTTCCCTTTTGTTCTCGCATAAAATAAGCCGATAACGTAAAAGACGAGATATAACATTAATATTTAATTTAGCACAAACTGATAAAAATCACGCCAAAGCTGAAAGCTCTAGAAATTTACGACTCTAACTGCGTATCGGATCTTTGATCGGTGCTTTGAACTTTACGGTATTTTCTACAGCTCTACGCCCACCGATATTCATATATATATATATATACTATATATATACTTTATATGTATGAGCTGCTGCTTGTATCTCATTAAGCCTCGGATCATTTGGTAATTTGTTGTATTGTTCCAAATGCAGTTCGTGTGACGCCTTTGGCAAAATTTACAATGCATTTTGTATTTTCTAAATTAATTTGTTCGCAAAAACAAATGTACACAGCAAACGGCCACAAATCATTTGATTTAATTGATTCCATTAAAGGTACACACACTGAGTGCTACCCAAAGTCATCCATCTATTTGGCGATTCGGCTACCAATTCGCACACGGTTGCAAAACTGGCTTCAGCTGAGAATATTTATAGGCCACAAGATCTACAAATTATTTCGAATATAGAGCGAGATGATAATTAAGCAAACTTCACTTAAGTTAATCTTTAAAACCGGCTGCTAAAAACAAATCCGACCGACAGCCAGGCAGATACACCGAAATCGTATAAGCCCACGCGGAGAGTAATGGCAATTTATGGCCCAAACACAGTGCTCAATACTCAACCTATAAAGATTTCAATTGCTTAGCAAATGCCGTCTGAAAGCAGGTGAAAATACGCGTTTATCATAAGTGTTTGGCGAGGTGTCGAAAACGGGAATCAGATCCAATGCGCGTGCTGACATTATTATGAATGTATTGTGGAAGCAGCACGACAAAATGCCTGCTAAAAAAAATCGAAGAATTATGTATTTGATAAGAGACATTCACAAATTTATGAGAGCTTTATGCAAAACTTGCAAATGATTTAAACTAAATATATTCTGCTTACAATTTTATAAAAGAATGATCAAAGAAAGTTTTTTAATATATCATTTATATAATATTTTAAAATATATATATTGTTTATTATACATAATATAATGCCAAAAAATGTATTGAAAGTACAGGTAGTACGAAAAGTACTTGGCACTGAGATACTCCGTACTCAAGGTAACATGTTTTATCACTTATTTTCTGCGATACTATCGTTAGTTATTTTAAAGTCTTATAGTCTTTAATCTTATGTGGGACCACACCTATAAAGCAGACGAGATTGGGTAAATAAATCTATCAGATATAAGATTTATATACTACTTATACTTTTTAAGCCCCTTAAATTTGCTAGAGTTTTGTCAACGAAACTTCCATAGAGTCATTTGAATTGCTTGCGATTAAAGCCGCAAACGTATATATACATTTGTATGTCATGAGTGATTAAGTTTCAAACAATAAGTCACAGAGGGAAAAATAAAAACGGAAATAAAATAATAACCGACCGGACGCTTAGTCATGCAGTGTAAGAATGCGTGATATGCTCAAGCCGAATGCCATACAGCTATGTAGTTCGTGTTGTGACTTCTTGCTGGAAGCTCGTACTTACACCTAAACGAGCCAAGTGCATTCTTATCAGTGGCCAACCGAATGATGGGCCGTACTCTCACACTGTTCTCGGGCTTCACTGTACTTGCAGTTGTGTGCAACAGTTGCGCCGCAGCCGAGATACTCGAGTGCTATGAGTGCTTCGAGGGAGCGGGAGCAAATATGGAGAAACCGCTTCCGGTATGCTCACAGCTGAAAAACAGTCCGGAATTCAGAGTGCCCTGTCCCAACTCCACGATGTGCTCGAAGACAGTGAACACAATTAACTTACAAAATGGATCGAAATGGTCGGCTGTTCTCAGAGGCTGCGCAAACCAAGTGAAGATAACGCATGTTCTGCGCAATAGATTTTATGAGGAAGTCGCCGTCATAGATGAGCCCTATAAAGATGGCTGCATTGAGAAGAAACATCACAATATGCTGACATCAACGGTCCAGCAATGTTATTGCCGGGGCAATCTGTGCAATTCGGCGACTTATCGCGACCTCAACGTTCCATTTAAAATGACATATATAATGTTGCTGTTGAGCTACTTGCGGCAACTCATTGGGATTTGAATGCTCTTAGTCAGATTATATAGAATTAACCAGCTATACCTGCCGACTATGTAGCAGTTTATTAGTATAACAGGAAAGTCTCTTTAATTAACTATAAGTATCTTTAAGAACTTGAATAAATATATATAGATAATAATAACAATTCCGGTTGCATACCAAATCTACTCATGTATATTATCATTAAGTAGCTTAAAAAAGATTATAGAATATCAAATTGAATAAAAGCTTTAAATGTATCTGTGATATACGTTAAATTCTCCTGCTACAGCCGACCGACAGATTATGAAGAAAGTGTGAAATGCTTTTAGTCAAAATATGAATCAAGGTCAATGGCAAATCTGAATCAGCGGGAAGCCATATAAAGTCAATTCAAGCTGCATTCCCAATGCCCAATCAAATTGGACTTGTAATTGATTAAAAGTCAGCAAACACTTAAATATTTATTAAGTATTTGTGATTTTTATAAATGCCATAATTATACCGACTATACATACTACACCAGAGTGATTCAAGAGTCAAAAAACAGCAACAAAAGCCACGCGACGTGATTCACAGTGCGAGGGATTTGGAGATTTGGCACTTGGGGTTCGGGCACGGAACGGAACGGAACCGAATGGATCGGATCGGATCGGATCGATTTGGCCTGGCATGCGGGTTCAGTGTACGACCTTTGCAGTGCAGTGACTGCAACGCCCCTCCCTTGCCCCACCTCGACCCAACTCTTTTCGCTTTCCTCTACTCAGGATCGTCGCCGGCTGTTTAATCACAGTTTATGTTTATTGTTGCAATTAATCCGCACAATAAAAGATATGCTTAACAACGGCAGCTGCGGCCGACTTTTTGGATAGTTAAAGCCAACAAAAAAACCGTTAAGTTAAGTTAAGCTAAGGACACACATCCGAGCATCGGGAGTCGATGTCAATGTTTGCGACACGATTAAAATCAATTTTGTCAACATTTTTCTTCCACGTCTGTTGACGATTTTGATTCTGATTTCGATTTTGATTCCGGTTATACATACGCATACGCATATGTTGGGGCACCAAGCCCCAGTACTCAGTCCCCAATCCCGTCCCAATCTCAGCTTGAATAAAATTAATGCATTTCGCATTGCGGCAGGCGCGCGCAATTTGAATGTTGTTTTTGTAGCTGTTGTGTCTCTTGTTGCCGTGTTTCCGTTGTTTTTTTTTTTTTCGTAATTTATGATTTCATTACGGCACTTTTATGGCGCTTCCGAGTGCCTCAGGTAGTTGGCTTGGATACGATCTATAGAAGACGATGTTGTCATCAGTTCAAGTCCCAAGATTAAGCTACGCACCAACTGCAACAATGTGATAAAAATATTTAAATGTGACGCTTCGTTTAATTACGAACAGCTTTTGATGATGAAATGCTGCATATCCTAGAACAATAATTGGCACTTAATAATTTCCAATAACAATAATAATATGTTTATAAATAGATTTCGATACAGCCAATGCGCAGGCGTTCGGCTTTGTTGTCAAGCTGCTTTTTGGGACCAAAATTAAGGGACATTAATATTTGAATAAAAATATGATAATAATACGATATTTATCTAAAATCGAATATTAAAAGTGCTTGCACATTATCAAAACAAGAAATCAAGAGGTCTTGAATTTTTTCAAATAAACTGAATATCAATAAAAAAAAATAACATGTATTTAAGCTTTAAATAAAAACCATTCATATTTCTATAGGCAAATTTACCTTATATAATACATATTTTGTTGGGTTGATTATTTATCCAGACACTCTTGAAAGATACATAAAAATATCACGCTGAATGAATGAGTATTCATTGTATTCACGAATGTGTAAGCTCTGTAAAACATGCTCAATATATGCTGGTTAAATCTTACAGAAAAAAAAACAAACAAATATTTATAATTATTATATACGTAGTATATACAATATATATATATATATATATATATGGTTTTTTCTGTGGCCTGCAGACTAAGGCTGACCTTTGTTTATCAGCAATAAACTTAATTCTGATAATGAGTCGCTGCTGGTGCTACTGACACAGTATACAGATGAAACGGAATGATGTTTTTTTTTGGGGGGAAATTTGGGAGCATTTTATAAGAAAAACAAAATGCGTCATTTCGCGGCTGGAAATCCTTGATTCACTCTTAGATGAGATGTATATCGAGCAAATTATATATTATATATATGAATTATATATCGAGCAAAAAATGTGCAACCTCTAAATGTTTGATGAATGCCAAAGGTGCATTCGCATTGAATGTAATAAATTATGCGAATTATTTAATTGAATTAATTCGTAATTACAATTATTGGCAAATGAGCAGCCGTTTAATAAAGCTTACAGTTAATTTCAACAAATGCCAAAAATAATCCAAAAACAATATAAAATTATAAAAAATGGAAAAAACGTATAAAAACAATAACCAAATTAATAACAACAACAGCAGCAACAAGAAGAACCCGTCATGTGTCTAAATTAAGGGAGCGCAGCTCAAGACGTCGTTTTTTGGCGCTTGTTGCCGTTGCTGTTATTGAACTGAACTGAGATGAACTGCGTGAGCAAAGTGGTCTGAGTTGATCTGTCGGAATCCATAACCGAGCCGCTCTCAAATTGTGGAGCAAATGAGGCTAACTACCTCTCCCAGACAAGCGAGAATTTAGGCGCGGTTTGCTGTGAGAATCAGATTGCGAGATGCGCTCGCACCGTACATGGCACATTTCTATATAAATCCGGTGTACCTCAGCGAAATACAAACATTCCTGTTGCAGCAGCAGACGCGTTAACCGCATCAGGACCTAAAACACAATCTCAACAGGATAATTTCCAAGGATCAGGAATATCTCTAAATTAACCAAACACAAAAAAAAACAAACAAAAATTAATAAAATGTTCGCGAAATCAGTGCTAAGCGTTTTTGTGATTGTGGTGAGTAATGTGTGTGTTAAAGGACACAAATACAGTCCAATTATAGTGCTTAGTGAACGGATACAACTTGAACTACATAAAGTATACGCATATTAAGTATACGCCACTTGGGCCCCAAACTCAATTAGTACACTTATATACTATCCATACCTAGCCAACACGTAGAGCTGGTAAAAAACCATTCTGAACTTTTTCGTGCCAAGTCAGTTGAAGCTCAGTCTCATGGCTATGCAGGCTTTGTTTTGATTTGCAGCTGAGTCAAAGTCAAGTCTCAGCTTTATTAATGGCATTTGAAATATCATAAAATATTTCATAAACAAAAAGCACATAACGTTTTTTTTTGGGGTTTCTGCGCGTGCCCATTGGCATTTATTACTTCCGGCCGGCGAACTGAACTGGGGAGTTGCCGCGCTCATTTAATATGCCAAATTCCATATGCCAAATATTATCATACATTTACGAATATATTCTTTACAGGGCCTTGTTGCAGTCAGCCGCAGCAATCCCGTTGATAACAATGGCAAGTATACGGTTTCAGCGCAAGACTCTAACGACGGCAAATATCATGCACAAGATGATGGAAGGTATCATCCGAGTTCAGCGGACGAAGGTATTTCGGCATTGCAATTGAGTATCTAAGCACCTGATTATTTGGTACCACAAGTTGTTGCATGACGCCTGCCCGCACTGCATGTAGAAGCCACCAGCACTAACAACAACAAGTCCAATGGGACAACCAACACACACTCGCACACTAACATAAATATATAGCACATGCATTTCTTAATGTATTGTCCCTACTGATAACCCAATTTTATTTACGAATCCGTGATAATAGCAAAGTTCAAGCTCAAGCTACAAATTCAGTTGGTTTTGGTAAACACGAGTCATTGAAATTTGTTATCTTTGGGTATACTGTCAGCTTGAGCTGACTTTATTATGTCGCGCACTAACCACATTGTATTTTATTATTATAGCATATACTTTATTATATATATTAACATTTAATTTCTTATAGGCCGAGGTGTCTATCAGGATTCTTTAGGTAAACATAACAGTGTATTGTTAGAGAATTTTCAATTTTCTTTCTTTTCTTTTCAAACAACACAAACAAAGCCACACACACAGTCAAACATCGTATCATATCCATAACATAGAATTAAAAAAAAAATAACAGTATTATATCATAATATTCCTTAGCTTAACCAGAGACTGTGTCCAAGAGGCACACAGTCAGCACAAACTCTCAGCAAATTTTATAATTCCCAAACAGTTTAAGCAAACAACAGATCTAATTGCATGCACGTTGCTTTCTTGCTTTATCAAGGGCATGTGCTCCAATTGTACAAAAAACATTGTATCATGAATATTCTAAATTATTCCGTAAGCCTCACATACGATGAACTGCATAAATACGTATAGATTATTTTCTCTAACCTGACCTTCAATACGAAGTACTAGTTTACACTCACATAAACATACAAACAACGCACACTCACACATACATGCTTTAAATTTGAGCTTCTTTCTAAGATATGTTTGAATTTATTTCCCACTGAACAGGTCGCTATCATCACGATGTGCAGCCCTATATGCATGTAAGCGATAACCGTGAACTTGGTATCTATCATCATATTCCCTATCCGTACGATGGTGGCTATGGGCCATATTCGGGCCTCAATCGCCCGTATGTGCACGATGACAGACCCTACAAGTAAGCAATAACTTTTAATGACTTTTTTTGCAACTCTAATTCCTTTTATTTGCATATTTCTCCCATCTTCCATAGCCATGATCTTTACACAGTAAGTAAAGCTGAGTTTAAAGTACCCGAAATACGCTTGGAATACGGCTTTCCCGATCATGAACCGCAAATCGAACACTAAAGCTAAAACAATGCTCAGTACCACAAAAACAGTATTCACGATCAGTTTTTGAAATGAGATTTTTTCGCGCCACACAAATAGCCAGTACCCCCCACGCTTTCATAACTCAACAGCCATTCATCAAAAAGCAACCCGCCAAGCGTTTCCCGTTTCCTGCATGACACCAACTCCAACCAACTGCCTGCATATGCATGAAACCCCCTTACGCATACACACAATCCCACCCAAAAAAAAAAAAACACACGCACACGCATACGAAACTCCTGCCAATTAGATGAGCTCGATACTTAACACGTACCATAACAACACAGTCGACAACAACAACCACAACGAAGAAGCCAACCACAACCACAGAACGCACCACAACAACAACGACTACGACGACGACCACGCCACGCCCCATACTCTTCAACTATGATGACGAGGGACGCCATAAGATTCTGCACCAGGAAGAGATCCGCAAGAAGGACAAATACGATCATGCGTAAGTTGCCGGGAGTTCCCATTTAACCGACCAACCAATCCAATCCCAATTCGTGTTCACAGTTTCCTGACCGAGAACGGCATCTATGGCGAGGAGCAAGCGAAGTTGCATCATGGAGGTGGCACACATGCCAAGGGCTACTATGAATATACCGGAGATGATGGCAAATTGTATCGCGTGAACTATGCATCCAATGATAGGGGATTCATGCCCGAGGGTGAGCACATTCCAACACCACCACCAATTCCCGAGGCCATCGCCCGTGCTCTGAAGTATGTGGAGGAGCAGCACAAGGCGAATGGAGATAAGCCTCTGTTCGATCATCGCGGATTCCGTATCAATCACATGACCAAGGAAATCAAGGCACAAATCAAGTCCATTCATCTGGATCAAATGCCCAAGGAGCTGAGCGATCAAATCCGTATGCTGGAGCACGAGGTCGAACTGGCCGAAGAGGAGGAGGCGCGCGAGCTGGAGGAAGAGCAGCGCCGGAAGAGTGTTCATCAGCTCTAATTTGAACCGAGTGAACTCCCCCACATTGCTGTGTTCTCATCTAAAGCCATAGGGATTGTGTTGTGCACAACACATTCTTAAGTTCCCCGCCCTTAACCCCCTGCACCATTAAAATGTCCCCCCATTCCCATGCATTTGCCGCCAGCAGCTGGCAAAAACTATAACAAGCCATCGAAAAAACTGCAAAAAAAAAGAACAACAAACGAAAATCCATAAAAATTGAATTGTACACAAAAGGATTTGGTACTCGTATAGCCACGCCCACATATGTTAATTTTGTATTTATTTATCGATATATTTAAATTGTGTTATGAATTTAAAAACAATTATTTTTATATATTTTTAATAAACATAAATCATTATTTGTTACAAAAATTCAATTATTTCTTCTCTATGAACGGAATTCACACTTTGAACAGAAAGCGTCAAATTATTCATTAAACTTGACCTATAGAAAAGAAAGGTCAAAACTTCGATTGATAATAAAACGAAATGACTCAAAATAATGCGGGATAATTAATGAGTTCATTGAACCGCAGCAAAAATTAATTCTCTTATTTGTAAGAGTTTTATGATTTCAATGTGAACTCAAGTATTAATCAGCTGCGAGAATTGATATATTAAAATTCCCTAATGCCAAGCGAGCTACCTATTGTTATCTAAATCAAAGAAAGGGTATTTGAAAGTCGATTCCTTTCCTTTTGTTTACAGGGCATTTCGTAAACAAGCTCAATATGCGCACATTAAAAATAAATCGTTAAATTAAATGTACATTTTAGCTAAGTGTCAATGCCCACACAAATTTAATTTCGGTTTTCGCTTAAGTCTTAAGGTCAATATTATATATAATCTATAAATTAAATATTAATTGTTTTGGGTACGGTTTTTAAAAACAATTACTTTTATAGCATCCAGCTGCGAAGCTCATAGCGGAGAATACAATTTAAAATTCTGAATATTTTTATAATAAAATGTTTGCCTAAGTTTTCATTTAACTAAAGCACACTTTTGTGCTTAACTATTAAATGCAATAGTTGAGCTTTGTATTATGCGAAAAGCTTTTGGCAAAAAGAAAATCAGATAGAACAAAGAAGAAGTTCGGAATGCCAAAGATTAAATGCTCTTGCGGCCTTTTAGCAGCTGTGCGATGCATTCGTATACCCAACCAGATAAAGTTTTTTTTGGCAAGAGCAATATACTAAACTGATTGTTCCTTTTTGAGCTATAAGATATAGTAATATAGCAAAAGTAGGATCATATTTAAGAAGTTGGCTTCTTTACAAATAAACTTGTTTTGCATACAAAAGATTCTATTTTCTGTTCCCAACGGCAGTGATATAATATTCTGACCCGGCCGACACCAACTTATTTACTGCGTTCAACATAAGAGATAGACCTATGATGAGCTTTAAAAGCATTAGATTAGACCAAACAGACAGACTTAGGACAGACGGACGGAAAGACATTTGACTATATCAACTCGAATATAAATTTCTGAAAGTCGAAGATTCCCCTTTCTTTGCGTAACATAGTTCGTGATGATATCGTCATCCCCATTTAAAGAGTATATCAACAATCTTTGTTCACCTAACTCAATTCCAAAGTGACCAATCAAATGCGGCGTGCTAGTCGCCATTTTGTATATTTTGTGGGTGCGTGGGATATGCTAACACAGACTGAATTAAGTTCCGATTGTTGAAATCATCATTCAACTTAATAACTAGTAATTTAAAATATATTTGATTTAAACAAATTTTTACTCAGTTTGACAGAGATGCCAAATTTAAGAGCTCATATTCATTCGAATTGTTCAAAATGTATGCAATAGATGGAAAATAGAGTATTGAAGCCACCCATCTTCTGTCCCACTGCTACTAGGCTAGAGATATCATATTTAAAGTATGTTCTAACTATTACAATGGCATAAATAAACTCACCACCTCGTAGCAATGCTTCCTTTATATATTCCGGTTTGTATACTCCTTATGCTACTCCTGAACAGCATTTAAATAAGTATTGTTTTTTTTCTGAGGTATTAAGTGTTGTTTATGTATGTGAATTTCATATTATTAAATTTGATCTTTTATTTTAGAAACTTCGTACACAGTCTAGTTGACTTTATTGCCTTGTGTAGACCACATTAGCCGGCGGCTGTTGGTTCGCATAAATGGCAGCATTTGGACCATCATCTGAAAATCAATTGCAATTTATATATATATTTCTAGTAGGATATTTGAGTATTTTTACTCACAGGTAATAACTGGACGGAAACCGTTGGCATCAGCCACATATTTAACACCGACGCGAATGCCTTCGGGTGATATATACGAATAGGCACCAGTGACTTGTTCCTGCTGCCTCCCCTTGCCGATGTAGATGGGGGTGCCGCGCTCTTCCCCATGAATTCCGTTCTCAGTCTCGTAGCTGTAGGCATAGGAGCCCTTGCCATAGTTGGGCTCATTTGACTGGTCGATAGTGCGTGCCAGAGCATTGGCAATGTTCGGATTGTATTTCTTATAGAAGTTGTCGTAGTAGCGTCGCTGATTGTACAGGTCGCGGTTCCTGAAGTACAAATCCCTATAGTAGGGATTGTTTCGATACGGATTGTACTCCCGTTGCGCATTGCAAACAACCACAAAGAGAACCAGCAACAAAAAGGAAGAGAACTGTGCAAAGAGTTGTTAATTTTCATTAGATCCCCTTTAAATCTTTCACTTAAAATACTGTTTAACAACAAAGGGTAACTTTTCGATTTTGATTTACCATTTTTAAAGACATTTTGGATGCGAGGAGCCTGTTACCAACAATGTTGATCTATAAAATGAAACTGTAACAAAGCAGAGCCTGACAGCGACATTTATAACCATGTTTGCCTCCGTTTAGTAAAAGCATTTAATTTCAGACCGTAAAATCATTATATTCGTTCAGCGGGCGGCGCCTAACATTGGCAAATGAAATCCAATCTCAGCAGAGGCTGAGAAGTTTTTTCGGGCTTGCTAATTTCCGCTTAGAATTTTGATTGTTATTTAAATTGGGAAGCTATAATACAAACCTATACTCTGTAATTAGAATTCAAGTCGTATAGTTACAACTAGAGTTAAGATAAAAACAAATATTATTTTTATAAGAGCTAAGACTCATTAGTCTTTAAATTTAGAAAATTGATCAGCTTACAAACTTATGTTATTTGGTAAATCTTCTAGGGTATCTCAAAGTCAACCATTTACAGCTCGTAATGGTCTTATTATGTTTGCATTAATAAGTTAAGTTTCAGAGCAGTTGGAGGTTGAAGTCAGCATTCGCACAGGAAATCTGTTAAACCAGATACGAGAGACGCGTGCGGCAGACAAACAAAGAAGTTGTATGGCGACAGAGAGGGGTGGCGGGAACTAAGTTATAGTATTGTTCTATATAAATAAATATAAATCAGATCTTAGCATATAAATGATGACTTTACTGATTAAGGAGCATTCTTATTAAATTGCAAATTTAATATTTTGAAATTTGAGAAGATGCTTAATTAAAGCCTGAATACGGTAGCAATTTTTTGTAGATTCGATTTGTAGTACGAAAATATGCTTATACAATACAGAGCTGCAACTAAAGAGACAGAGAGATGGAGTGCAAGAGAGTCAATGAGAGAGAGAGAATGACAGTTTGAACTCAAAGTATTTTAGTTACAATTATGAGAATCGCATAGTAAGGCGACATATTTCGTTTAGTTTACAGCGCAGTGCTATTAAAAAAGCATTTCTCAATTAAGTGAAATAAACTTGCTCTTAGTGTGTTATACGAAACCATTTATATACTCACACACCCATTATTTGGTTAATCTCTATACAAAATTAAGACGTTAAGATCCGCATAGAATATAAAATTAACTACTGTAACTGATATCATAAAAAAGATTAAGCAAATTACATTGATAAATTACTAATGAATGCCTTTAAATTGCCATGAAAATAGCACTCAATGAATGAGTTGGTTAGTGAATGAATGGTTAAGTACAAAGGGGGAGGAGGTGGGGAGAAAACGGGGCTCGTGTTGCCATCGAGTTGGCCTTCACATTTCGCTTGCGGCTGCAACAATAGGTGCCACAGCTATTGCAACAGCTTCGAGCTCCGCGATGCTGAAAGCCACGCGACCCAGAAGCGGACTCATCAGATCGGCGACAAATATAGAGTTGGCCACATTTTATACACTTCGAATAGCACTGGTCTATAAAACAAAACAAATCGAACTAAGCCCTAAAGATCAGGGTGTTGCAATCAATCATTTAAATAAACAGTACCAAAATATGTAAGAATTGCGAAAGAATATTCCATATATAGACCACAAATAATAACTATAAGTATCTGAAATGTGAACACCATTTGTCAGGCTTTTGGTTATTTTATGGTCCCAACTCAAAACTGGATTCGTGGGCAAGTCGTAATGTGTTAAACAGATTAATCCAAGCACACAAAAAGTTTTATTAGCCCATTTACATAAATTAATCGTTGAAATATATTTTTTTAAATTAATTAGATTGAATTTATTTATGATTTTTAGAGGCGTATCTGAATATTCATTGAATAATTATGCATTCTACAAATTCGATTAAGCTGTCCGAACTTAGCTACGGATAAGGAAAATAAATAATATTCAGAGTGAATTAAATAATGTTTTTATAAACTTCACTCGGCTTACTGAATGAACCTAGATTTACTCCAACGTATGAAAAGGATTGAACAATTTAAATCTTTTCACAAAACTTTTATACATAGATATAGTTCTATGCCTCATCCATTTATGGTTAGAGGTGTTTTCGCTTTACACCATTTATGAATTGTCTAAATTAAATATTTATAGTGGTACATTTAAATATTTGATTTATATAACACACGCCAAATAATTAAATGACTCGTAATTAGACAAACGCCTTGAGTATAAAAAACACCCACGCGAACGCACGGCAAATCAGTTTGAAGTAGAAAGTTCTGAAATGACAAACGTTGAACGGAATTACGACGATTTCACCCACGTGCCGAATCTCGTATTCAAGTCGATGGGATATGACTTTCTGGACACACCGAAGCCCTGGTGGCAGCACATACTACTCCGCACTTACTGGATACTCTGCTTACTTAGCCATTGGTATATGGTCTACTATTTGATACTGCGAACCGTTGAGTGGGATACGCTGGCTGGGAATACGACTGCCATCATGCGATACGGGATTGCCTACTTCTTTGTGCTCAATTCCGATGTGAAGTACATTATCTTTATTTACTATCGTCGTCACTTACGGGAACTGAATAATAGGATGCGTGCTCTCTATCCCAAAGATGATTGCGAACGGCGAGAGTACCGAGTCAATGATTTTTACTGGCCACGCATTGCACGCTATGGAGTCTATTACTATTATTTCGTAGTCTTCGTCGTGGTAGTCGGTCCCATTCTGCAGGCCACCGGAACTTATCTCTATCAGCGCTTTACCTCGAGCAGCGAGATCAAATTTATGTACTTAAGTACGTACCCAATGGAGCGTATTAAATCGATGACACCCATTACGTATGCCTTTAGTCAGGCCGTGGATTTCGTATTTTCACACTTTGTAATGAATATCAACCTGGGCACAGACATTTGGATGATGTGCCTCTGTGGTCAGCTGTGCATGCACTTCGCCCACCTGGGCAGGCAGCTGGAGACCTACAGGCCCAATAGGCACCGCCAGCTCGAAGATTGTGCATTTCTAGTCAGCATAGTACGCAAACATCAGCTCTTGTTCATGTGAGTCATAATAGAGTAATCGTAGTTTTTCAATGAAACATATTTATTCTAGATTACACAAGGAACTCGATAGTATATTTGGCATGCTAATGGCCTACAATCTGTTTAGCACGGCGACCACGCTTTGTTGCGTTGCCGTCTATTCAATATTGCAGGGCCTGAATCGGGAGGGATTTGGTTTTCTATTATTTTTCTTCGGCTGCTCCGCTCAGTTCTACATGGTTTGTTACTATGGGCAGCTACTGATAGACTTGGTAGGTGGAGTATTCTAATGTCTATGAAATAGTTACTCTTCTACCTATTGCATAGAGTGAAAGCATTGCCCTGTCTGCCTACAAACACACTTGGTATGAGGGCTCGCCCACTTATCGAAAGTATCTGCTACTCATTATGCAACGAGCTCAAAGACCAGCTATGCTTTCAGCTAAAGGAGTCATTATCATATCCGTGGATACATTCACGAGTGTAAGTTTTCATAACAATTTCATAAGTAATATCTATAATTTAATCTTAACTTTACAGCTGATGAACATGACGTATCGATTTTTTGCTATCACACGCAGAGTACTGGGAAAATAGATTTAAAATTATTAAGTTGGTTTGAGACATCTGGTATGGAACACAAAATGAATATAATTGCAAATAACATAGCCGAGACGGTGGGGATATTTTGTAAGAAGCTCCCTGACATTTCTATGAATTTGCATTAAAAACACATTAATTTAATAAAACTCACCGTCGCCTCTGGCTCTAATTGCTCCGACGGCTTGGTACCATTAACATCCAGTGCCCAATATGGTAGCCAATCTCAGGGCCAACTAAATACAAAGTTGTTACAATTATATCCGCACTCTCAGTTTAGTATACGCTGTCCCTTGACCATGAAAAGACGGTCTATTGTGTGTTCATGGCTTGACCGGTTCTTAAAGCTAAGCTAAGTTTTTTGCAGTAGCTGAAGATTCTTGATGTGACCTAAGCCACTGACATTTAACCAACTGGTTCGACTGCATTTCCAATGATTCGTTTGTGTAAAGAAAATGCTAAAGTATTATATCATATTATTATCATTTTTATATTATAATTTAAAATATATTTAACATTGTAATAACTACAGTTTTTTATGCATTTAAACGAGGAATTCAAAATCCATTTATCTCAGCCGTTGGTCAATATCATTAGATACATATTCAGATAAATTTGAGTCACGGCTTGGTTATATTTAGAATACAAATAGAATACATTCGAGTCACGGCTTGAAATATTTAGAATACATTGGATACTCGATTAGGCGCCAGAAAACATTTTAGTTCTAATTCGAAACTCTAATCTTTAAATTTCTTCATTTCAAAAAATATTCTTTTATATCATCAATTTTACATATATATGTGAATGTACAGCGACAAACAATTAAATGACGAGCCAGAGGTGGGGTCGGGGTGGCAGTGGCCGTTGCGCTTTTGGCCTTCACATTTCGCGTGCGGCTTGACAGAATTTCAACCAATTCAAATTGTGTGCAACAATAGCTGAGATTGCAACAAAACAGCAGCTCGCCTAATGCAAACCCAACACAGAAGCTACTAACTAAAACTCAACTCACAGAGTTAAAAGTCAAATAAACTTAGCTAATACACGAGTAATTACAGATTCTCACAGACTTACAGCATTAAAAATCCAATCAATAGTGAGAGTTAAATATGTGCCAAGATACTTAATTATTCAATATGCGATGTATTATGTATTAATTGCTCATTTTACACACACCCTAATTCATGTTTAATTATGTTTCAAAGCAATTATCCTTTATAATTTGTGGTGTGAAATACGCCTTGTGAGCCTAAATAGTTATTAATTAATCATAACGTCAATAAAAACTTTAAGTCTTGAATAATAAATAGTTAAAATGAATTTCTACATTGAAATATGAAGCCTATCTTGTTCTTTCGACATTATAAAGACCTCACAGAGAAGCAAAGAGATGGGTATCCATTGCGCTATTGATATATTAGATATGCTGTATAATTAACACTAATTGCCATTAAATATTCCACCCACTCAAAAACCCACTCATTGCGCTGTGGGTTTTACTGACATATAACATTTATGAGTTAATTTGCATAACGAAGACTCACCTTCGCCTTCAGCGTGGCACCTGAAGATGCTCAGACGGATTAACATTAATACGTAGAATAAAAGGCGGGCTGTTTTTCTAATGCCAGCCCAAAGTGCAAGGTATATGCATAATTTAACACAAATAGTTGTGTCAATCAGTTCTAGAGTAGTTTCAATTGCAAGTTCAATATCTTTCCATGGCGGCTGCTCCAGTTGGATCTGAACACAGCGTGTCAGTTGAAGTTGCTCCTTGACCATGAAACGTAGCCCATTCAGGCACTACATTTGACTGCTCTGCTCGGCTGCAATCAGAAGAGCTGACCAGATCAGAGCTGAATTGAGCAAAGCTGAGCAGCGTTTTGTGCAGTAGCTAGAGATTCTCGACTTGTCCAAAACCACTGACATTTAAGCACAGCAACTGGTTCGACTACTGCTGAGATGTCTGCTATTTGCAATTATTTATTTATGCCTGCATTGACATTAGCATTAGCCAAGCAGCCAAGTGGCTATAGTTGGGTGCCGAAAACTATGCCGGCCATTTCCAGCCGTTTAGGTCGTTTACGAAGCTGAGCCACGCCAGTTTGGGGACTCTTACGCAATGGAATATCAATAGTTGTAATTTTTCTCGTTTCGTTTTTGTAGGCCAAAGAGGGCAGGCACTAAGAGCTTTAACAAATTGCATTTGACGCCATAAAGAAGATGGCACGACCCTCAAGGCCAGCAAGACGTAGCCATAAAATGCGGCACAGCGCGTGTCAAAGTCAGTGGATGAAGATGGAGCTGAAAATGCAGCTGAAGATGAGGCATCTGTTCTATGCTTTATGGCCAGCCAGCCGGTCAACTGACATTTTGCGGCAAATGCTGCTTGGATGGCTAATTAGAGAAGTCATGCGTAATAATTCAAGGTTCACATTTGTCGAAGAATTTACATTTTTCGGTTTTTATATAGAATTTTATTTTATATTTTTATAACTTTGAAATCAAAAGACTTAGGCAACAAACTTGCTGGATGAGAATCTTTTTACGGCGCAAATAGAAGGTAAATTGGAAGTTGTTGTTTTAGTTGCTGTCGATGCCGCCGCTTGCGTAATTTAAAATAAACCCATTAAAAAAATAGTATAATAAATATTAAAATTAATGCAGTTGAATGTCTTCATAATTATAAAGCGCTGCCTAACACTAGTCAACAGGCAATAACAATAGGCCAGACCCAAAAAACTAGAAGGCAGCAATTTTTTCAGAGCTTCCACTAACTGGCAATTGTTTTGCTTATTGCCACAGTCCCAGCAGCAACTACAGCAACAAACACTACTTGGAATACAATATGGCAACAATCTTTGGGACAATCTTGTCACGAAATTCTGTCGCCGTCTGCGCTTGTGTCCCCATCTGCCTGCCACAGCGCCAAACCGACCCAAGCTATTCATTAGACGCGCCTACACTTTGGCAGCAGCGGCGGCGGCGGCGGCGACGGCCTCTTCGCGTTTAGCAATTTTTGGCATTTTGACCCCAGTACAACACACACACAGACATACACAAGCGCAGACAACGGCATGCCCTGAGCCCGAATTTGGGCGCACTGTGGTCAAAGATCGCACATTAATGGTTGCAAATTGATGTTTACTCATGCAAATGGCAATTTATAAAAGTCAACTATTTAGAGATTTTTAGAGCATATATAACGAAAAACTCTTTATAAGCAATATCTTAGTTGAATCAATGTAAAAGGCATTCCTCTAAACTGAAAAAAGCATGTTCTGTCTACCTATAGCAAAAATATAATATTTAAGAATAATATAAATATTAAATTGCGAATTTTTCTTGCGAAACAAAATAGTTTGTAGTTCCTTCAGTTGTTGTTCCACTGTGCGTTGCCGCTGCCTGACTTTGATTGTATTTGCCGATTATTGGCCACGTATTTAAATGCAATTTTTTCGCTTGCCCCAAAGGGAACAAAAAGAATGAAATAAGCCCAAAATCTAGCCAAGTCTAGGTGGAAGCGCCGCGAGGGCGATGCCGTCGATAGGTCGGCTATTTTATAGTTTCCGCTACTGCATGACGCACCTGTTGACAAACGAGCTCATATACCTGCTGATATCGCATGTCTCAGTTAAAGCTACTACGTAGCTACTATTTGTTTAATATATTATTGTTCAAAGGGCGCACTGCTGATGTAACTGTAACTGCATTGTGGACGAGTGGAAATCAATGCAAAATTATTTATCCGCATCGTGAAACAATTGCATAAAAAAAATTGTTTTCCATTTGGTTCTCAATTGCACAGAACAGCTGAGCTTAACAGCCAGAGGCGTGCGCCTAAAGGGGCACTAACGGCCACTGCAGCAACTATATTTTTGTAACTCACTCACCTGTGCAGCTTTTGCTGCTATTCACTTGCAGCCCCACAGCAACTGTTGCCGCTGCTGATGCTGCTGTTGCTGGTGCTCTTTTCAAACGACGCCAGCAGCGACTGCGGCGCTAACGCTGGCAGCGACAACGACGACGACGACGACTACGACGAATCTTTAGTTTAGTTTTTATATATACATATCTATTTTTTTATTTTTTTTTTGTGCTTTTTGCATCTTGCATGTGCGACGCTTTACCCGCTGAATTTGCAGCTTCGTCGTCGTCGTCGTCGCCGTTGCCGTCGTAGTCGTCTTTGGGCTTTTAGTATAAATAGACTCACTTGCCGGCACTTGGGCATCATTAAAAAATCTTTTGTTCAATTAACAACAAGTGTGAAGTGTGGTGCGCCGATTGCTGGAAAGGATAAGCCCAACTTTGGATTACATTACTGAACCAAATAATTGCAATACAACATGAAAAACGTAAGTGTGTGTGAGCAGCTGAGCAAAGGAAAACAAAGAGCAACAATAAAAAAAATGTCAAATTATTGTGCATGAAAGTGTAGTTAAGGCTTGTTTTTCAAATAATTTAAACAGTGTGCCCTACGAGCTTATACCCTGCTTCCCTAGTTGCCTGAATGTCCTTCTAAGGGAATCAAGAAATAAAAGTGTGGCTAATCTAGAAATCATCCCATAACAAGCTTCAGAAATATGTGGCTGGTTATGTTAAACCTGATAGCGATAACTCTCTAAGGTAATGGCCAATTAAAGAACAAGTTCTAGTCTAGAACAACGACAACAACAATGTCGCTTCTCCCTTCTTCTCATGACCTACAAAACAATTTGCAGCTTAGCTCATTTATTACCGCTGTGTAGTAATTAAATTGTACAATATAGAAGACACAGTTTAAAACTCATATATATATAGAATTTATGATGGGTATTATTTCATTTGAGTCCAGTTCTGAGTCAGCCAAAACATTTCGAAATATGCACAGCAACAAGCCCTTCAATGCGTAAAATGGGATTTACAACTACAAAGTCGTAAATCAATCAACATAAAATTTTAAAACCCTACACATATAAATAAGTGGGAGAAGGCCGAACTACCTAAAGGTTCGCAACGAGTCAGTTTAAGGTGTTGTTTCCGCGTTGGTTTATTAACCAATTGTTACAGCCATTTTGGCTGGCCAAATGGCCAAAAGTCGATGCCAGGCCCGGCCGAAATGGCAATAGCAATTAATGAATGCTGGAGACGAGGCAACCACTTAAAAGGCTCGAGCACGATGCCAAACCAAGCCAAATAACATGCAGCCGGCATGCAATGCAAAGGTCAGACAACAGCCGCAACAACACCAACTGGACAAGCTGGCCCGGAGCCGAGGCTGGGGAGACGACATTTGGCTGCAGAGGCGAGACTAAAAAAGCGCTGGCGACGAATGTTACGCTCAGTTGGCAGCTGTCTATCTGGCTAAAAACACAAACTAAACTGAAACACAAGACACGTTACCCACTCGCCCATCGTCAATTGCCCAAGAGTCGGCCAGACTGTACTTAAGCCAAGACCCAGCCGCAAAGGGGCGTTGCAGCATGGGTCTCTGCCTTTAGGTCGTATTGCAACACGCGCGTATGTAAACACCAAATAGACAGAATAAGGGAAACAGAAGGATGGACACTCCTACCAGGCAAACAAAATACTCTTCTTGCCTGTTAAACTATTTCCACAATTTTATAAAATTATTATTTTTAATAGGCACAAGTACAATTAAAAGCTGGATAGACACTCTTGCCTGTTAAACTATTTCCACAATTTTATACAATTATTATTATTAATATCAATAGGCGCAAGTACAATTATCAAAAGGTGCACTTTAGCTAGACCTTCTTTCTGTTAAATTGTTGTATTTTATCGTTTTTTTTTGGCTCACGCCATTTATTATTACAAGTCACGCTCATCTCTAATCTCTACGCCCCACAATTTTCCATGCACTTGTGAGATAATTACTTTAACACACAGACACAGATACACAGAGATAACAAGCTGAAAATCGTATGTGTTAAATATTTAATTGGCGTCTAGTTATTTGACGACCTTAAGAAATCTGTGGCGAATTGACATATGTCTTTCCGTCCGACTGTCCATCTATCTGTCTGTCTGTTTGTACACTTGGTTTATATGTATGTGGGAACAATGTAAACAAGACTCATAAATCAAACAACTATGCGAAACGATGAGCCAAGTTTCAACACAACACAAAATAACAGAAAATTTACATAAGAAAAAAAAACAAAACAAACTGACGAAAAAAAAAACAAACGAAAGAAAAACCGCTCACGATTTCTTCAAATCAGCCTCCAGAGTGTGATGTGTAATTGCGCTCGTTATTTATAAACAATTGCCAATTTACGTAAATTGAATTAATTTCCGTTCTTAACCCACTTGCAGTTTGCCCTCTGTCTGATCGCTGCTGCGCTGCTCTGCCTGGTGGACGCAGCTCCCAAGCCCCAACAGGGCGAACCGATTGCGATCATAAGCCAAGAATCTAATATCGAGCCGGATGGAGCCTACAATTATGCGTAAGTTCACATTGATTAAACAGAATGGAACCACAAAATAAGTTCAAAAACGGAACCGACTTCTCTATGAGAATCTGTAGCATACTTTCGGGCACTTTGTAATTTAACAGATTTTTTGCTCTTCAGTTGAGATCGAATTTCGACTATTTGTAATATATCTTAGAAAGCACAAAAAATAGCTCTTAGAATTTTAATCGATCATATATAGCAATCTTTTCATTGAACCTAAAATCAAATAAATTAAATACTCGACTCCGTTCAATTATACTAGAGATAATGTAGTTGATCTACATAAGAGGTCATGTTTATATTGCAAATGCCAACAGTAAACCAAAATGTATATTGATTTAATATTTGGTTCTTCAAACTAATCCAATCATAAATAAATAAAAATGCAAATTGTGAATGCGAATTAAGCAAATTAAATCTGAACTTATGAGCAATATACCAGTTATAAGCATTTCCATTGGTTAACAAGTCCGCACACAAATGTTAAATGTTAATATATACATAAATAAATAAATAATTCGACTGGCGCCAACGATACACAAAAAAAGCAAAACAAATCAGAAAAAGGAAACATCGACTGTGCATTGGCTACCGACGATTTTATACCCTGTACCGAAGGGATCTGCTTGATTATAATGTTAATTATAAGGAAAACAAAGTCGATAATCAACAGTTTTAAACTAAAGACCAGTTTGCATAGACTGAGAGATAGACGGAATTGCTTTATAAAACTAATATCTAGACAAAAAGCAAATACCCCATGCCAGTATTCATAGCAGATAAATAACTTTTTCACAGCTTTCAAGGTGAATTCTGTGTATCCCAATTGCCAAAAAAATACAAAAACTTACCCACTATTTCAACTTTGCAGCTATGAAACGGCCAATGGTATCAAGGCTGAGGAAACTGGCATTGTGAAGAAGGCAACCTCTCCGGACACCACGGATGTGATCATTGTCAAGGGTTCCGTGTCGTATACCTCGCCTGAAGGCGAGCTCATCACCTTAAACTATGCGGCCGATGATGAGAACGGATTCCAGCCACAGGGCGCACATTTGCCGACACCACCACCAATTCCGCCAGCGATCCAGAAGGCGCTCGACTATCTGCTCAGCCTGCCCCCAGCACAGCGTCGTCGTTAGGAGGATCCCTTTTGAAAGGACATGGAGGTGAAAATGACAATATGCAAACGATACTCTGATACTCTACACACAATGAAGCAATTTGCTGCTAGCCCGTATATCATCAATCAATACCTTAAAGCGAACACCAACATCGAGCAGCTGACTGAAGAACACAACCTGCACACACACGCACACACACATATACACATACACATACACACACTCAACTATGTTTCATTTTTTTGTTTTGTTTTGATTTCTTGACTTCTTCTGAATCCCTTATCCGATTTCTGCTATTCTTTATCGTCTTCAAACTTAAACTGTGCTTAAGATCTTTTAGTCGCCGGAACTTTGCCATTTTCGGACTCATGTGATATCATCGATTTATTAATGAAATCAAGAAGAAAATGTAAAAAAAAAGAAAAGAAAAGAAAGAAGGAATGAACAAGAAATAATAATGAATTATGATATAATAATCCAATTATTGTGCACAGCAATTCTTGTGTAAATAGTCTATATAACTATAATCTTTTGCATGTAATACGAGTATAAGCGATATGGATGACGAGGATGTACTTACTTATACATACATATGCATACATTTATATGAATTGTTGGTTTTTTATACATGTCAAATGATGTAAACATATGAGAAGAACTCAAATATCTATAGCCTTAGCTGCAAATAAAGAATTAAAGATTCTTAAAAAAAAAAAACTTCTAACTTGTTTTCATTGTGGAGCTACAAAAAACTCTCAAGCCGGAAGCAGAAAATCCGAGACATTTGAGCTAATTTATAGTTTCTCTATAAGGTTTTCAATCATTATAAGTAAAGCACTTACTTTAGAACAGATATTTAAAAATAGCATATGAAAATAATTTTTTTTTTCCTTAAATTTCAAGGCAAATGTGACAAATTTATTGTATGCAAATGAATTGAATATTTGGTTGGGCTAGAGCTGATCAAAAATGTGGTCAAGTCGGTTCCATAAAGAACCAGAATCCGAAGCTGACGTTGCTCACAGGCGCTATATAGACAGACATGCATATTGTTTATAGTCTTAGGCTAAAAATAAAATCAAATAGCTAAAATCACCGAAGTATTCATACCCTTAACCCAATCATAAGCCAAAACGTGTAATTGCTTTGACTATACAATTGCCCAAAACTTTAAGCGAAAATAACAATCTAGAAATCTTTAAGAAATGGTATATTTCGAGCTGATATGCATTGGGCAAAAGTGTCTATACCTCTAGGAGGGTATGGATACTCCGAGAAATCGTGCTCAGCAGGTTCGTTTGGTTTGCGTAGCGTCTGCACCAAATTTCACACCCATTCTGAAAAGGCCAAAAACAAACCAAACAAGTTCAATATTATTTATTGCCCCTACTTTAATTATATGTTAAATATTTTAGTATAGGTATTTTATTAGTTTTGTATGTTTGTTTTTCGCTTTCGCATTTTTAGTATCCCACTATAAAAGTCTGTTTGCTTAGCACTCCCAATGTCAGTCGCCCCGAAACATTGGCACAGCGTGGATATTTATTCTGGATATAGTAAATATACAAATTGATCAAAATGAAACTAATTCTGTTATGTGCTCTATTTGTGGCTGTGACGCTTGCTGCTGATAACAATGACTTTATCTCGAACGAGTCGAATGTGGAATACAATGGCAAATTCTTCTACCAGTAAGTTAATGAGGCCAAACTCAGGACCGACAAGTTTTAACGCCTTCTATCCAAAAGTTATGAGCTGCTCGATGGCTCAAAGGCAACGCAGAATGGCGAACTTAAAGAAATCGAGAAGGATCAATACGGCGAGGCCGTCAAAGGACATTTCTCATTTGCCGGCGACGATGGCAAGGAGTACGCCATATCCTACACAGCCGACGAGAACGGCTATCGGCCAGTCGGCGATCATCTGCCAACGCCTCCGCCCACGCCAGAGTCCGTGCTGAAAACCCTCAAATATCTGGAAGAGCATCCCTATAAACCCACCGAGAAAAAGCCTTAAGGAATCGATGTGCTCAACCCAAACATGTGATCATTAATGTAAAATGAAACAACTGTGAACCAAAAGAACTGAACAAGTCAAGTTAAACTTATCTGATTAACAAAATTTACACAAAACTAGCCAATTGAAAAAACAAATATAAAAAAAAAACAAAATCCATGAAATTATAATAATCTTCATCTAGGCAGATCAAATCAACTGAAGAGCTTAATGTGCAAAAATGCTTGTGCTTTAAATTATTTTCATAGCAAAAGAAGGAAATATTGTTGTTTTCGCCTAAGTTGATTACTTTCTCGATTGTGCGAAATGGTCTTCACAATTGAAACGTGATTTGAATAATTAAACTCGGCACTTTTATGCCAGTTGCGTAACTTTTGTTGCCGTTCTCCGGTAGAGCATTTTTTTTTTGGGTGCCTCGCCCAACAGCGAGCCAGATTCCGATTCTGCACAGCTTGGTCGATCTGTGTATTTACCTGGCGTGACCTGCTCTATGCGAAATGTTTGTTTAGTTAGCAGTTTTGCTCGGTTGCAATTGTGCATTTGCCAGAGCCAAAGAATCGACTTGTTAGGCTCTTCGTAATGGGGTTCTAATTGGCAAATACGCGTTCCTATGCGCTCGTGTGGCCCAAGAGACAAAACAACCTATTGGTTAGTTGAGTCGAGGACAAATGTTGGTCTAAACAATTTTATTTTCAGTAATACTTGGAATGGTACCCAGCTTCTGACTTTGTGTTATGTAATCAAAGCAGAAAACGAAAGTGTTAATTCCGTATGATTTTATTTAATTAGCAAGCATCTGTTAAATTGAACTCTTCTAGTGCTGCACAAATAAATCTAAAATATTGAATTAAAGAAAAATTATACAGCTGATAATTTGCTATTCATATGTCGAACTATATACCCTATTGAAAGTTCTGGTCGCAGTTCAAGTTCATTGACCTATTGTATATATACGTTGCGTATACGTAATACGCAACTTTATCATTTCTCTAACAATGCTCGTACTCTACATTTTTTATTGCCCCTTTGTTCGCGATCACCGTTAGATCAGGTGCGTATTTATGAGTGCTCAAATTGTTTCCATAATTGAAACGTGCTTGGAATTAGAAGTTTTACCTCTTGGTATTTGCCAATAATGGAATCGATTGACAAGAAACCTAGCTATGCGGCGTATCTTTGTAAAACTCGCTGTTATTTTGAGTTAAATCCTTAACGGCCAACTTCCTCCCTCGAGCTCCGCCTCAACTTCCCCGTGAACAGCCTGATTAATTCAACGGAACTTACAGCGCTTGAAAGAGAATTATGTTCTGCGCAGGCAAATCACGTAGCTGCCAACTCGGTCTGGCAATGTCATCAACATTGTCTTGGAGACATGTCACAGCTCAGCCGTCGTAGTCCCAGCTTCGGGTATCACCCGCTGACATCGTCGTTTCATCTGCATCTCTTTGGCGGTGCGGCGGTGTTTACTCATCGGCCAGACGCGCGAAATGGACAATAAAAAAAACCTCAAGCGATGGCCACACCAAAACAAAACAAAACAAGTGCCCGAAAAGATAGTGCACGGCTACAAGATACCCTGGAGTCAAGAAAATAAACAAAATCTCATGCAGTATTAACTAAAAACCTAAGTAAACCAAGTTAAGCCTTTACATCAAAGAAGTTTCCCATAAAACTTTGTATATCTAGTTCTAGATAAAGTCTGGATAGACTGCAAATAATTTTGAAAAATACTCTTAAAGCTGCTGACTTGGAACTGTGTAGAAAACTATCAAAATTTTTGGAATGTAAATGTTCAGGTTCAGAAAAATATATGCTGTTTTCTGAATGAAACCTGTATACCCGCTTAAGACACTCTTGGACTAGAGGGTATGATTGAAATGTGACGAAGAAGCGCCCGCTCATAATATTTTGATGGTAAAGTACGAGTACGAGTACTTGACGCTCTCTGCTTCTTATCTAGTGCGCCCATCGTAATCGTTGGCTGTGGCAACCGAAGCTGACGCGGTGCGTGCGAGTGCGAATCAGGTGCTCGCCCTCGTCAACGAGATGGTATATAAAGGCCAAGCGGCAGCTGAGTAGACAACAGTTGTTGCATTAACTCGCTGGAATTGACTTGCCACGCTTCCGCGCTCTAAATACCGAATATCACAGAATAAGCCCCCATCAAAGTTCCATTGCAATAAAATGTACAAATTCGTGAGTGTCTTGTGCTCTGCTCTGCTGTTGAGCTATGTCTTGGCCCGTCCGCAGGATGCGCGCGCCGCTGGACCAATAACAACAACAACAACGCCGGCCAGCATCATACAGCAGGATAATGTGAACAATGCCGATGGCAGCTTCAACAGCAGGTGAGTTAGGACATCTCCATGGCAAAGGAGTTGCAACCAACCCCTCCAACTCTTCTTCCACGCAGTTATGAGACATCGAATGGCATAAGGGTGGAGAACATTGGCTACCTGAAGAAGATCATTATACCGAGGACGGAGACCGGCGATGGCCAGGTAATTGAGGAGCACGAAGAGCTCGTACTGGTGCAATCTGGCTCCTACAGCTACAGCGATCCCGAGGGCAATCTCATCACACTACGCTATGTGGCCGACGAGAATGGCTTCCAGCCAGAGGGAGATCATCTGCCAGTTGCGCCGCAATAGTTGCGTCAACCGGGCGTATGTGTTATTAAGTAATTAGCATTAAGTATGTATGTATATCCTATATCGTATAAAGTATTACGTACTGGAGATAGCACCGCACTGCCCTATGCCATACGAAAGATACGATGGGTTTCCAATTATTCAGTCCTGGCACTGACATTCAAACACACACACACACAGACACCCATACACAGACACCTGAATACCCAAAAAAATGAAACGAAGAAGTAATAAATAAATGAATAAATATTGAACAATTAAGTTTGTGTCTCATTGCCACTTAACGAATACTCATATTCATATTCACTGCAAAGCACTCGCTTTGAGTATTTCTCAGCCTCGTGGCGCTTACAAAATTACCAAACTGCCCTTCACGCCGACTTGCGGTTGCTGCTGCTGCTGCTGCTGATGATGATGAGCTCCAAGATTATTTACACACAAGCCAGTTGAAGCCGACACCAAAACCGAATCAATATGAAATACCAATTTAATCTAAATGCTCTAATCGCTGCGCAACCTCAGTTACTGGCATTGATATGATCGCCTCTGATTTGTTTGCGCATCAGTTTCGTTCGTCAGTGTCCACAGATCGCAATCAATGCAAATACCCATAAATTACACGAGGTGTTTGCAGCTAGTTAATAGAAGGGTCTTGAACAAAAAGTTTTTGAAATGCAGCAAACATCAAATATATAAATACATTAAGCTTTTGATTGAAGACAATGTTAGCAGAAGACGGAGAAGACATTTCTCTATGTTTTTACTTTTTAGAGAAGTCAAATGTCTTACCAAAATATAGGATACTTTGAATAACATAGAAAAAAGCTTTATCTATATCTATATATATTTATAGAATAGAAGATGAAAATAATTTCATTGGATGAAACATCTTTTAACTATTTAATGCTGCCTTAGTTGCTTTGAGATGAAATTGGATAACTCAAATGAATAAAGTAAAACTTTGTGACATAAAAATTACCTGAAAAATTGTTGGGAAAAACTTAAGAAGCACACCTCGCATATTGGAAATAAATAGACAAATGCCCATTTAATAACGCATGCCCATTTAATGGACTAGGCGTTCCGATAATTAAACGGCCAAATTACTTTATTATCGAAAAAATTCCAATGCCAATTGCTGATCCACATTTGTTCAGTTTGAGTTGAAGGTGCAAGCCGTCGCCGGCATGTGGAAATTCAGTTTTTGCATCCTCCTGATAGCCAGCACCTTGCGTGCTTATGCCTCAGCGCAGATGTTACCGGTAAGAGGAAGGCAAAGAAGCAGATATCATGGAAGAGCATTATAAATCTTGTATTTTTCCTAGCACATGGGGTACTTTGCTGTCATTCGGCAATTGGAATGTGTGGCCAATTCGAGGTATGTAACCGAAGTGGTTTGCAATGCGGTGCCACCACGTAATAGAAGCATCAATGCAGCTCTAAGGCTTATGCAGAGGATCACAAGTGTAGCCGGCACTCTGGAGGTATCCATACCGATTCCAAGGAAAAAGAAACTTAAAAAAATCTTTAACATGACATTTGAGTTGTGTAAAGTTTTGCGAGAGCGCAAAAGAAAGACCCTAATCGAGCTACTCAGTACAATGACATGCTTGGGCAACAAAACCATACAATGTCCAATTCATGCGGTATGTAAATATTATAATATGAATTTTTAACAAGCTACTTACCTGGTTTCTTTCCTTTCTGCTGAAAGGACTTCTATCATGCGGATAATATCACGGTCGTTGAGTCCTTGCCACCGGTTCTAACCGAATCCGATTTTCAAATACGTTTAAATTGGTTTTTACCGAAGGTTGCCTCCGTCCTAAATATCACAGCCGTGGGACGTCTACACGAGAATGCCAAGGAACACGCTAAAAAGAGAAAATATTTATAGAAAATTAATAACATAATAAATATTTATGCATCAAAAATAATATGCCCAAAAGTATGCTATAGTTATCAGCTCTTATGCTCTCTATTTTTTTCAACTATAAAAACCGAAGCATACACAATTATGCTGCTTTATTGCCTTGCCGTGATACGTATAAAATAAATATACAAAGAGCCAAACCTCGTGGAAATAGGATGAGTTTTGACCGAGTTATGGGGGTGGGAAATTTTGACCTATGGTATATGGGATATTTGAGGGTACCATTTGAACATGAATTTTGACCAAAAAAAATGTGGCCAGATTTAGATGCCAAATTCATCTAGAGGGAAAAACATGAACAAAAAGCCAAGCCTCGTGAAAATCGGATGAGTTTTGACCAAGTTATAGGGATGGCAAATTTTGAACTATGGTTATAGGATATTTGAGGGTACCATTTACACATTAATTTGCCAGATTTAGATAACAAATTCATCTAGAGGTCAAGCCATGAACAAAAAACCAAACCTCGTGCAAATCGGATGCGATTTGACCAAGTTATGGGGGTGGGTAATTTTAACCTATGGTATATAGGATATTTGAGGGTACCCTTTGAACATGAATTTTGACCAAAAATAATGCTGCCAGACTTTGATGCCAAATTTAACTAGAGGTCAAGCCATGAACAAAAACCAAACCTCGTGAAAATCGGATGAGAATTGACCAAGTTTTAGGGGTGGGAAATTTTGACCTATGGTATATAGGATATTTGAGGGTACCATTTGAACATGAATTTTGACCAAAAAAAATGTGGCCAGATTTAGATGCCAAATTCATCTAGAGGGAAAAACATGAACAAAAAGCCAAGCCTCGTGAAAATCGGATGAGTTTTGACCAAGTTATAGGGATGGCAAATTTTGAACTATGGTTATAGGATATTTGAGGGTACCATTTACACATTAATTTGCCAGATTTAGATAACAAATTCATCTAGAGGTCAAGCCATGAACAAAAAACCAAACCTCGTGCAAATCGGATGCGATTTGACCAAGTTATGGGGGTGGGAAATTCTGACCTATGGTGTATAGGATATTTGAGGGTACCATTTGAACATGAATTTTGACCAAAAAATAATGTTGCCAGATTTAGATGCCAAATTCATCTTGAGGCCAAACCATGAACAAAAAGCCAAACCTCGTGAAAATGGGATGAGATTTGACCAAGTTTTAGGGGTGGGAAATTTTGACCTATGGTATATAGGATATTTGAGGGTACCATTTGAACATGAATTTTGACCAAAAATAATGTTGCCAGACTTAGATGCCAAATTTAACTAGAGGTCAAGCCATGAACAAAAAACCAAACCTCGTGGAAATCGGATAAGATTTGACCAAGTTATGGGGGTGGGAAATTGTGACCTATGGTATATAGGATATTTGAGGGTATCATTTCAACATGAATTTTGACCAAAAAAAAATGTTGCCAGATTTAGATGCCAAATTGTTTAAGATGCCAAAATATGAACAAAGAGCCAAACCTCGTGGAAATCGGGTGAGATTTGACCGATTTATGGGTGTGGGAAATTTTAACCTATGTCTATAATAGCGGGTATACTATAACATTGATCACCAACAATTTTATATATAGAGATTAAATGTTACCGTTGGCAGTCGAAACAAAGTCTTTATTATTATTATTATTAACTAACTATTAAATAACTACCAGTTTATTTTAAATAATCTCTTCACTTGAGCACTATTTTGTGTTAAAGCTTTTTTGCTTCGCACGATTGAATTCGATTTTAGTGATTACTCTATATAGAGGCCTAACCACAATTGACTGGAATTTATATGTTTAGACACTTGTCAGTTTATAACTAGAAAGCAACATGTATCATTCATTGTTGCGGAACTACCAAATAATGGTTATATTCATAGTGAGCCTCACTTTCAATAGTATTTCGGCCAGGGTAGGTAACAGAAAATCGAAAAAGCATTTAGTTTTTTGTTAATCAATTTCCCTATACAGCACAGACATCTGAAGGTACGCTGGGGTTCCTTTGACTGCCGAGTCCACGCCGATTTTGTATCCGAGTACAAGTGCCAGGTGGTGCAGCCAAGGCGTTCAGCTCTAAATGTGGAACTCAACTTGCTGCAAGAGCTCAGATCTATAAAAGTTTATACACTTATTTCCACCAAGCCCCCCTCGGGGGTAATATATCGAAAATTGTTTGACAATATTCTGGATGGTTGTCGTGTTATTTCTCAGCTCTCGCAGAAGGGAATCACGTCTAAAATCTATGGTTCTGTAATTAAGTCCAGTAATCAGCCCAATAAATGCCCAATAAGAAAGGTAAGCTCTCCTTTTAGTATAATTATAATATATGTACTAAAAATCAGTTGTATTATAGGGTTTCATTTACTATTATAATATAAGCGTAGAGGAGGTAATGCCTAGCTTTGTGCCGGTCAGTCATTTGATGACCCAGGTCAACTTCTATGCCCAAAATCAGTGCTATTTAAATGTTACGCTCAAAGGCAGTGTTATGGACAACTAGAGGCAATAAACGATATTATAAAACAATAATAGCTTATTGAATTCCAAATGTTTAAAGCCATACAAGTGTAACCTATTCAATCTTATCTCGGTATTTAAAAAACAATAATAATTCGGCTGTGCATTTCCATATTTAATCATGGCCCAAGCCAAAAGCGTGCTATTAACAATTACGCTGGCCAGCAATTAGCATGGATAAAGTTAATACTTTAGTGCTTCTGCTTTCGATAGCCTGTCTAGAAGCCAAGGTATTTACATCAATCTCCCAAAGTCAAACTCAAACGAAACACAAATCCTTAACAGCGTCTAGTTATCCATTGGAAAAGCTTCGATTGCATTGTAAACCCAGAGATTGTCACATTTCACAGATGCTTCATTGTGGATTCGGCAAAGACGATAATTACGAGCGAAGTTGAATATAATCTCGCCTTCGAGAAGTTCAATGCGAACTTTGTGTTAAACTTGCCACGCCCACCATTTAATGAGTTTTATAAAGCCTTTGAGCTGAAGATGGATGTCTGTCAGTTCTTTAAAGGCGCCTATCAGAACAAGTATGTCAAAGCCGCCTATGTAAGTATGCTGAAGCACAGCAACATGCCCAAGACGTGTCCACAACCAAAGGTGAGTCGCAGGTTAAACTCAAGCGAAAAACTTTTGAGCAGTTTTTAGCATCTGAATATTTTAAGGGTTTCTACTACTATCACAACATGAGCATCGGTGAAAACCTGCCGCCCTTTTTGCCAAAATACGATTTCAAAGTGCAATTAGATTTCTTTCTGCCCAATGTGCCGGTCTTTAATGTATCCTTAAGCGGACGTTTGACCGAACCCACAAGGCATAGGGGGTAGGAAAAACTTACTTTTAGGCACATTTATACTTTGTTTTATATTCTCTAATATGCATCATAGTACATAAGCTATATGTAAAGTGTTAAACAAAATGTTTTGTAATTGTAAGTTTTAGAAGACTTTTGACAACAAACATTGCAATGGCTTGCTCAGATTACTTAGTTTAAACAGGGTAATTATTCTTTCAAAAAAATCGGTATCTGCACAGAATAAATATATAATTATACATCTATTCAAGCAGCTAAGCAACAATTACTACCACGCAATTCGGCTATTCGATATTCGAGCTTCGGCAAATATTTAGTCATTTCCCAACCCCAGCCGAATCGTCTGCGAAATGGTAAAGTTCTACATTTTGGCACTGTTACTGCCAATGGCAGATCTCGCCAACAAGGTTCGTCTCGTTGAGAGTTAAATATTATTCAAAGTATCTACAAAAAAAGCCTCAACATTCAACAGCGCGCACTTCGTTTGAGTGTGGTTTGGAAGACCTTCGATTGTGACGTCAATAGCGATATTGTAACTTTCCACAAATGCAGCATAGTAGATGCAGACCGTACTCTTTTGACCACCGAAATAATATATAATCAGGTTTTCGATCAGTATAACGCTAGCTTTTCACTATATACACGGCCAACGTTGAAGGAATATCAGAGGATCTTCCAATTGAATATCGATCTTTGCCAGTTCTATCAGACTTCACTAAGGAACCAATTTTTGGACATCGCCTACAAAAGCATTTTAAAGGACAGTAATTTTCCAAAAAAGTGTCCTCAACCCAAGGTGAGGCCTTTCTTTGCATATTATATGGTAATCTCTATAATATTACATACATATTTAAAGGGCTTATACTACTTTCGCAACATAAACGTAGCTGATAATCTACCGCTCATTATGCCCACAGGAGATTTTAAGTTATATTTGAACTTGTTTACGCCCGATTGGTCATTTTGGAATATTTCCCTAAGCGGCAGAGTAACACGGCAAATAGGTAAATAAATCAATACAAGTGATATCTGATAAAGAGGAAAAAATACAATGTTTTTTAACAATCAAAAAAAGATAATGTCTTTTGTCGGTCAATAAACTTACGTATCTTTAGTTAAGATTTATACAATTATATGGCATATATATTCTGAATTTAAAATCAGCTCACAATCGGACAAAATCGGAATTTCTTTGAAGAACAATAATGAAATGCTTGTTAGAATTGGCAATTACCACGGGGTATACGTGGCCTGTCTATCAAGTGGCGATGATTACGCTGATCAACAGACATCTCCATCCATTACTAGAGCATTATTTACGATTCAAGCTCAAGATGCCAGCCACTGACAAGAAATTTCACAACATCATGACACTTGAAATTGCCGCAAAATTTATTGCCTCGCCGGACTTTTTTGTAAAACCAGTCTTCAGTCTTCGGTCTTCAGTCTGCAATCTTCCGTCTGTGAGCTCAGCTTTTAAATGTCAAATGGCGCACGAGCTAAGAACACAATTTCCAGCTAAAGATGCAACCTACAGCAAATGGTAAACCAAGAATGCAGCAGCCAATCATTTGACATTTTCAATGGCCAGCGGACACCACAGGCCCACTTTGCTGATCTGTGGATGGGCCAAGTAAGTGGGTCAGTGTGCGAGCTGGGTGAGGATGCGGCTCCGGAGCTAACCTTGTCAGCTTTCGTTTTCATTGCGTTTCGAGCCAGCCAACTGGGGAAAATTGCACAATTGCCAGCCGCTTCGGGTGATTCATCCCGGGCACTCCAACAAAATGGTAACTGGTCTCAAAAGCCAAGCGTACACTCCGGTATGCATAGCTCTCTGGCTTGGCTTGGGTGGGGGCAGTAGAAGAAGACGGCACTACCATTTGGCTTGGTGTTGAGGGGTGTGGCTGTGCAGGCGGCGGCCAGGCCCAAAAATATTGTTGTTATGGCAAGCGGCAAGAGTTGACCAGTTTTTGCTCACACTCCAACTCGCTCTCGCTCTCCCTCTCTCTCTCTCTCTCTCTCTGCCTGACTAACCGGCAACGCGGTTATTCAACTTTTCGCATTATGTTGCAAGTGATTCTCGCATCTTTGAAATCAAATTTATTTGCTTCTTTTTTTTGGGTCCATCAGCAGAGATTGGCAAGTAATCGTGGTAATCGCTTTTGCATGATATTATCGTCACAGTTTGACCCATTTTCCACAACTAATTAACATTTGCCAAGATCCATTACCCGTTGCCGTTTTGAACTCAATTATCGTCTTGCCTCATCTGCAGCTAGCGAAAAACAAACAAAAACCAAACCCGATCCATAGCTGCACGAGTATTACAACAATTTTCATTTCAGTCTATGCCACATATATATTGTATGTCACTGTCCTCTATGCCAAGTTCCCCCCCCCCCCTCGCCGCATTCCCCTAATGCCATACAACCAATCCAGTCAAAAGGTGCTGCTGCTATTACAAGAATCCAACAAAACGTAGCCGCTGCCAGCAACATCTTCTCCACTTGAGCGAGAGAAACAGAGATGAGAGAGAGAGAGAGAATGAGAGGGGGAGAGAGACAGCGAGCGAGTTAGACTCTCGACCGCAAACTGGCTGGGAGAGCATTTTGCATGGTTCGGCTGCATTTTGGCGAAGACAACAAACGTTGTCGAAGCTTGCAGAAAAAACTCGTTCTGGCTTATTTCTAAATAACGGCATTACGAAGATGAACGACCGGACAGACGCAGACAACCCGCACACTCAAGCCGTGCCTATTACCATACCATGCCATAACTATGCATAACTACTATTATATGAAATCCAAAGACGTTGCTCGATTTAGGTGCTACCAAAATAAATTAAGATTATTGAAAAATCTAGGGATTTTCCTTAATATGATGTAGCTTATGATATAAAGATAAGTTTCTATGATCTGCCAGTGATAATGTTCCAAAAAACTATCAGCATTATATTTTTTGAGTTTTGTATCCCGTAAAAACAAAGCTTTTTGGAATTCTCAATTTAGACGAAAGCAAAAGTATTCTACTTCTGGCTTAGATCATTGGATCTTCAGCCCATAATTAGCAAGTTGTTTGAAAAACCAGAAGACAGACTCAAAGAGCAACAACAGCTTCTACAGCTATGGCAATTGCAGCTATATGCCAATGTATCTGTATCTGTATCTGTATCTGTATCTGTAACTGTGCTGTAACTGTATCTGTAACTCTATCTCTATTTATGTGTCTCTTTGGCCATGGCGCTCGCTGGTGTGGGCTCCAGCTGCGAGCGCGCAGGAGACACAGCCAAAGTGGCGGCTATATAAAGCTCTTAAATAGGGCCGCCGCAGCACAGTTCGAACCGTTGCAGCTTTCACTTGCCAGCCAAACGGGCGCCGCATCAAACGCGTCAACAGTTGCAACTGCAACGTATTTGCTAAAAACAAGTGTAAATGCACAGTTACAACAAATCCTTGCAAGTGAATCGTCAATCAATCAACGCGCAACAAAATGAAAGTGTTTGTAAGTTTATCTTTAAAACTGTTGTGGGTGTCTGGGTTGTCGTTTGTGTCTTCGTGGTCATAAGTAAAACAATTAATAACTATTAATTGTTTAAACGTATAAAGTTAACCAAAAATTATTATCATAACTGACGAGCAACATTGACGAGCTATGTAAAGGCCATATAATAGATTCCGTGTTTGGATTTCAAGCTAATGCTTGGACTCTCTAATATCTATAATTAAATTTAATTTAATTAATTCGCAACTCTACATTTTTTCTATAAATTAAAAAATAAGAGTAATTATTACGTACCTTGGAAAGTTGTGTTGTCTTCGTGTTGGAAACCTGAAAAAAAAAATAAATTAAAACAGAAAATAAATCTAGAAAATAATATATTTACAAATTATTGAGTTTCTGCTATATAAATCTATTACTTTAGCTGCGCTTTAATTAATAATAATTAATAAATTAATTATCAAATTAAATAGCCCATAAATATAATGGAATTTATTGATATTCAATACTTAGTTGGCTTTTTTTAATTTTATCATAATTTATTAAAGTTTCACAAAACTTTATGGAGTCAAGTTTATGCATTAAAATTTCAGTCAGTGTTCTTGGCAGTAGAATTATTTTAATTATTTTCTTGCAATATGATTATTAAAAACTTTAAAAACAATTAAATTTTAGTAACAGTTATAACTATATCGAGTATATGGCCCATGTAAACTGAACCTTATAGATATCACTATGATATAAAATTTCAACTTCTTTTAATTATTAGATACTTATTTCGCTGTTTGCCCTATCGTGCCATGCCCAGCATCAGCACCAACATCAGCATCAGCATCAGCATCATGCACACCTAAATGCTAACAATATTCCGCGCGATGAGAAACCCGATCATCGCCATGAGGATCCACGCGAGACGAGCACCTGGATACCCATACTGAAGTACAACAAGGAGCAGAGCGAGGATGGCAGCTACAAGACCGAATACGAGACCGGCAATAACATAATACACGAGGAGACGGGCTTCCTCAAGGATTTCGATACCAATCCGAATGGCGTTTTGGTGCAGCACGGCCAATACTCATACCAATCGCCAGACGGTACCTTGGTCAATGTGCAGTACACAGCCGACGAGAATGGCTTCCGCGCAACTGGAGATCACATTCCCACACCACCAGCCATACCCGAGGAGATACAAAAGGGCCTGGATCAGATCTATGCGGGCATCAAGCTGCAGCAGGAGCGCCTGGAGCAGCGCGCCAAGAATGATCCCACCTTTGCCAAGAAGCTGGAGGAACGGCGTGTGGCCAATCAGAATGGCCAATACATTGGCCTGCTGGAGAATCAGTAGAGAGACGACGCAACCAAAACCTCTCAACCAGATAACGTGCTGCATTTTTGATATTTTTTCGAAATTTTTAAATTAACTACTTGCCTCCTCTAATGACCATAACCAACCGAAAGACTGTGATTTCTGCTATAAATTCTAAAATATATCCCAAAACAATCGTACCTTAAAACAGCCACAGCACAAATATTTATGTTAACGATCGTGAAAGTTTTGTTGAATAAATGAAAAGAAAAAAAACAAAAAACAATCACAATAACAGAGGAAAAATAAAATTTCCATCATGCCAAACACACACACACACACACACAGACGCGACCCCAAGCCAACATTATTCAACGCTTTTCCATTTCCATATTATCCCCTTCTTATACACATGTGCATACCCATATAATGTTCACAAAACGTGACAATGCGCAATGGGTTTTTTATTTCAGTTTCTGTTGGCTGTTTTTATTATAATTTTTTTTTTATTTTTTGTTAACAGCTTAAATTACCTCATGTGTCCGTTTGTTGATCCCATTCCATAATAATTTTTTTTAATATTTAGCATTTTCAGTTTTCAAAGCGTCGATTTTCCATATGCCGCGCTTTGTGCCTATTGACAGCCCCGTCAGACCAGCTGTTGCATAATTATGACAGCTTTTCTTTTGACGTTTTGACATGGTTTCCATTTTTTCGAGTGGTTTCGAGTTGAAGTCACTCGAGAGCTGCTTCAATGGGCGCCATTCCAATAATTTGGCAGGAAAATCTGTATTTTCAGCTTCACATATTAAACGAGGCTACGATAAAAACTAGGAACTATTATTTTAGTGAATATTTGGTTATTTTCTATAAGTGAGATGCACAGTTTTCGAAAGTAGTTATATATAACAGCTTGATAAAATTCTTCAGATATGTATAAATGTTTATGATATTTTGTTTATACGGCAACCCATTGAAAACCTTGATTTTACTGAACCGAATCTTTGGACAGACCAATCACCGAAGCATAACTTTTCAAAAAGTCTTAATTGATAAAAACGTGCTCACTTTTTACTATCGTACTTTACTTTACTTGAAAGTGGACTTTAAAATATCCAGGCTTGCTCGATTTTACTAGATTCCATAGTAGAATCTAGTAGAATTCTATAATGCGTGGCATTAAGTGATTAAGTTATATAAAGTAAAGATACATAAAAGCTAGTTAAATATTAATATCTTACTGGCTTGAAGATAGATCTAATGTGAACTTCTCTCGCTTTTCGGCCTACAACTGTTTTACCGTTGATCCAATCAATTTAGTGAAAAGTTGCCAACAGCGGCAAATTTTGGAGATATTTACGAATAGTTCGAAGAAGAACAAACGATGCCAAAAAAAAATCAACAAGCCAACTTTTTAGTAGCACAAACGGCGACTTGGCAAGTAATTTGCATAAATCTCAGCATAAACACATAGCTATGGATAAGCCTCTATATATATATATATATATGTAGAGAGAGAGAGAGAGAGAGAAATAAATCAAATCGGCTGCATTTTCACCGACCACAACGAAAGAATGTTTATTCGCCATTAAATTTTTACGCTCTTGCGCATAATTAAACGAAAAACTGAACAAAAGATAAATTTCTATAGCTACATATATGATTAAGAATGTTTCTCTGGCCGTTGCGTTCAGTCCAATGCTGGTGGCAACTGAACCGTCCGCAAATTGATTTGGCCAACATCAGTTGCCGTTTAGAAGCCGCCGCGTTTAGACCACAAAACGTGCAAAAGCAGAAGCCAAAGAAAACGCGCTGAAAACTAACAAAATCAAATAAATAAAAAACTGAAATCTGAAATCAACAAAGTGCGTATATTGAGAATCGATACCGTCTCAGACAATGACTCGTTGCTGTTGTTTTCTTTGCCAAACAACAACAAAAACAATGTAACAATAAAGAAGTAGCTAACTGTGAATGGAAGATACAAAACAAAAAAAATAATAACAACAACAACAACATCCACTTAAAAAGTGGCACATCCAATTAATAGAAACCGAAACTGAAACGAACAGAAACCGTTGAAACTGTTTGTCCCATTTGACTATGGCCAGCAAGCAGTTGACTCTTCTGATTTTATGGCTTTTGATCGCGTCCAGCTGCCAGCTGATCCTGGCCCAGACCGAGCCGGATGCCCAGCAGCTGCAAGCACTTCGGCCTCGGGGTCGTATACGCATTGCGGACATGCAAATGCCGCAACCGCCGCTGCCCCCACCTCCGCCCATGCTCGGACCCATTAGCTGGCCCAGCTATGATGCAGTTGCGCCCATGCCTGCCAGCTCCACGGTACACACGCTCATTCCGCTGCTGCGTGAAGAGCAGCTCGACAACAATGCTGCAATCCCGGCCATGCCAAGTGAGGCTGTGGTGTACGGTAACTGGAAACCGGATCATCAACCACTTCGACCCAGCGATGAGGATGCGCAGCCCAAGCAACGCGTCTACGGACGCCTCGAAGCCATGCTAATGGGCTTGCCAGCGGATGGTAAGTGCCAGAACAATCCAAAGCTTAGCAGGTAATCTGTGAAGCTTTAAGCTTCAAACGAGCTAATTTGCATTGGGTGAACACAATTTATCTTAATTGAAGCACAGATTAAGTGTCGTGACAAACAGTTTGTCGAGCTTGAAGAGAGCTTAATTGTATTTGTTTTATGTACGTTATAGATGTTAAAGCTTTAAGTTGCATAACTTGAGCTTTAATTTGAGCTTTATTCGCTCTTAAAGCTTTTATGTGATCGTTCTTAAAGCTTTTATGTGCTTTGTAAGCTACTCACCCAGTTGCTTGTACCAGTTGCAGCAAACGACAGGCGGGATTCATCCAGTGAGGAACATTCATCGGAAACGGAGAGACGCACTGCATCTGGTGGCTATCAGAACCCCTTCACGCGTCGCGACAGCTTCGAGCATTCCCAGGAGTCACGCGCTCGCTGGCGCATACTGCCTGCAAATATCCAAGCGCAACCATCCCAAGCACCGATCGAAGTGGTGCACATGAATGCGTCGGATCCATTGATGCGGGCCATGGCCAAACAGATCAACGAGTCCATTGAGGCAACCACAGCGCATCGACAGACCACAGAGGACAGCTGGATGCCGCTGCCCTATCCGTATCCTACGCCCAGCTACGAGAGCACGCAGCCAGTGCCAAGAGTGATGTCTAAGGTAAGCAGCACACCAGCGCCAACGCTTAGCTCTGGCCATGCCACGGAGTTCACTACAGTGGCGCTCAATTGGCCCACTGACTTTCTGGACGCCGCCTCGAGCAGCACGGAGCGCATTTACACAGATGCCAGCAGCGGCAGCATCGATCGCATCGACCATGTCGACAGCATTGATCGCATTGACGAGGATGTGGACGACTATAAATACTACGAGGAGAGCTTAAACTCCGCCCAAATGCACAGCGAGCTGAGCGTGCCGGACACCCTGCTGCCTAAGTTACCACTCAACATAACACGCGTGGGCATTCCCTACGAGGAGCGCAACTCAGCCGAGGAACCGAAAATTTGTGTGCCCCTAACAGTCTCCGAGACGGCCGCGGAAAGCAGCACAGCGCTCCTGGTGGAGGTCGAGCGCGTCTATTGCTTTCCCTTGCCCAATGTTCAGATTAAAACGGGCAACATACGGCAGCAACAGCTGCCGCAGCCAACGCAGCACGAACAAGAGCACGAGGCAGGTGTCACATCTATGACCACGGAGGAGCAGCCGCAACCAGCGCTAACTGCGGCTGCAGGTCGTCAGAGCCACTTGACGCTGCTCCTCATAATCATCTGGAGCAGCCTCTTGGCTTATTTATAGGCTAATTAACGCGATATTCCATCGCTTAAGTTCAACTCAGGGGCTACTTGTAATTAGAAAAATATATTAATGTATTTAAACAATTAAAGCTTAACTAAACCCATTTTAACGATCCAAATGCGCCCGCGTTAGTTTCTCTTTGACCACTCGACGGAGCACCTTACCGTTGGCATTCTGGGGCAACTCATCCACGAAGTAAACGCCTCCAAACAACTGCTTGTACTCGACAACCAACCGCTTGGCCACATGCTCTTTGATCTGATCTCCACTCAAGGTGCTGCCTTCGCGTTTTACGACCATGGCAGCGGGTGCATCGCCGTACTTCTCAATATAAACGCCTGCCACACAAACTTGTTCGACATCGGGTAGCTCAGCAATGGTCATTTCGATCTCATTGGGCCAATAATGCATCGTTAGACATTTAAAGATTTCCTTTTTGCGGTCCACGATGAACAGGTTATTGTTTTCGTCAAAGTAGCCCAAATCACCCGAGTGGAACCAGCCCAGAGAGTCCTGCATGCGCTGCGTTTCTATTGGATTACCGTAGTAGCCGGCCCATTTGCGGCCATGGTGCACACATATCTCTCCCACTTCTCCATGACTCAGATTCCTGCAGTTCTCGTCCAATATGCGAACTTGGACTCCGGGCGCTACCTTGCCCACTGTCGTGCCAAGCTTTTCCGTATAAATGCCGCCTGAAATTCCACCGATTTCCGTAGAGCCATATGTGAAGATAATAACGCTATTTTTAAGCAGGCTTTGCATCTTCTGAAGTGTGTCAGATGGTATCCATCCCCCACCCACGATTACAGTCGTTAGACTGGCTAGTTTTTCAGCTGAGGCCTCGGGGCATGCGGCTAGAGCGGAAATGTAAACCGGTACGAGAATCACGGTAGTGATTTTATACGTGACAACTAGCTCCAGGAAAAACTCGGCACTAAAAGGCTGGTTTGTTAAAATTCTTGTGCAGCCATTTGCAACGCTCCATAATAAGCTGAGAATGCCTGTGAACCAGTCTAGCCCAGAGGGACAGTAGGCGACCGATTCGCAGGTTACAGAACTAGATGAATAATATTAAAAGATTATCTTATGTCTTATGTTTTTAAGCTTAAATCAAATACCTACTTGTTACTATAATCAAACGTATGGTTTGCCATGCAAACAGCTTTGGGAAGTCCGGTAGTACCGGAGGAACACAAGATCAAGATTGTCTGATCACCCCCGAAAATCAAGGTTTCTGGTCTGTATAGAAAATTAATTAATTAATAGAAAATTGGCCAGATATATGACTGATATTATCAACTTACTGATAGAACATCTCAGTCTTTGTTGGGGAGAGCAGTTCCTCTATATACGTCACACCCTCCACTTTACCCGTGACTGTGATCAGTTCAGGTGTCCAGGCTGCACTCGCGGTCTTTAGCTTCTCGTAGTCGACGGCATCGCAGAAGATTAGCTTGGGCTTGGTTATTGTCAGCACGTGTGTAAGGGTCTTGATATCCAAGATGGGATTAACTCCGTGAAAGGGCGTGGCATTGAAGAGGCAGGCCACAGCGGCTGGTGTGACATAGGTGCTGTTCTTGGCCGAAATGCAGATGACGTCGTCGTGGCTTAGTCCACGCTGCTTGAAATTCTGTGCTAGTCGGACGGACCAGTTTAATATATCCTGACTTGTCGCTGTTTTCCCATCCTCAATGCATATCTAGACTTAGAAGAATGAAAATTATTAATTGAAATGCACATCTCAGAAGACCTGTGAGCAGGCTTACCTGGCAAACGTTTTTGGGATTATTTTTGAGATTATTGTGAATTATTCGGCCAATTGAACAATCTAAGTCATACATAGGCATGGGTTTTTTTCCACTCCAGATGCGTTCGATGGGATCGTAGCTGATCTCATCCATTTTTCTGACTTTTTCTGACAAGAGCTGAACACAAACTGAATTGCTCCCAAAGAAAACCGCTCGTTTAAATAGCTAGCATTTCATTTAATCTTTATTTTATCAGAAACTAAATTCATTCCGTGGACTTGCCGCATAAACAGCACACTCACTATGAAAAGCAATTTCGAAGAACTCTCCTGTTTTAATCAATAAGCTCTAGTCCAATAAAAGCAAAGAGTGCAGCGATAGCTATTACTATGAGAGATATCGCAATAATGTATAGCAACTGGTTGCATTCTGTACATTTTCAATAATAATAGGTAACGTTTGAATGTAGTGTAGATTTAGTGAGGCGTCAATGACTATATAAACGTCTTATCGACAAGATAACCAGTAAAAACAATGCTGTCAAATGCAACCGACCCGCAATACTCTGTCCACAGCGTTGCTACGGAGATTAACGACTACTCTAATTTTACACTTTATCTACAAAATATAGATATAATTACATATTTATAAAATGTATTAAAAAAATATATATATATATAAAATAAAATATTATATATATCCCAAGTTTGAAAAAATATAAATTTAAATATTTGCAAAAATAATACAAATGTATTTTAAGTTAAATAGAATATAAAAATCCAATACGTCATTTAATCTCATTAAATTGATAAGATTTAACGTACAATTATTGATGAGGGGCATGAGGTTGCTTTTGTTGATTTTTATAGACCCCAATAAGTGCCACAAAGAAGCGACAAAAAATAAAGCATACTTTTGGGCAACGCCTCTAACTGAACCCTTTACGAGACAGCAAAGGCCCAAGAAAGTTTGTTCCATGTTATAGCTGACAAAGGTTTCTTTTTCTGTTCCCACTTGTTTGTACAAAATTCTTCTATATATTTAAATTGAACTAATACCATTTTTACTAACGATCCAAATTCGCCTGTGTCAGCTTCTCTTTGACTGATCGACGGACAACCTTGCCATTGGCATTATAAGGCAACTCATCCGCGAAGTAAACGCCTCCATGCAATTGCTTAAACTCGACCACCAACCGCTTGGCCACATGCTTTTTGATCTGATCTTCACTCAAGGTGCTGCCAGGTCGTTTTACCACCATGGCAGCGGGTGCGTCGCCGTATTTCTCGTTATAGAGACCCACCACACACACTTCACGTACATCGGGTAGCTCAGCAACGACTGCCTCGATATCACTTGGCCCGTACTGCATTCCCAAGCATTTATAGATTTCCTTTTTGCGGTCCACAATGTACAGGTTATTGTGTTCATCAAAGTAGCCCAAATCCCCCGAGTGGAACCAGCCCAGAGAGTCCTGCATGCGCTGGGTTTCCAGTGGATTACCGTAGTAGCCGCTCCATTTGCGGCCATGGTGCACATAAACCTCTCCAACTTCGCCGTGGCCAAGATTCTTTCCGTTTTCATCGACAATGCGTGCCTTAACTCCGGGCACGAGCTTTCCGACTGTGTTGCCAAACTTCTCAATATAAGGACCGGCACAAACAGCTCCAAATTCCGTAGCACCATATCCAAAATAGATATTGCCGTTTTTAACGTGGTTTTTTAACCTTTGCAGTGTCACGGGGGGTATCCAACCGCCCCCGACTGCCAATACATAGACCGTCGCCAATCGTTCGGGTGTCGCCTGAGGACACACAAGCAACTCGCTGGCATGACGCGGTGCACAACTTATGATATTGATCTTGTACTTATCAATGAGCTCTAACAAATACTCAGCACTGTAGGGCTTATCGGGTATGATGCGGGTACAGCCATCCACTACGCTGAACATAAAGTTTAAAACACCCGTGTACCAGTCTAAGTTGGAGCCGCAGTAGATGACCAACTCGCTGTTAACGAAGCTGCAAAAATATTTCACGATTAAGCAATCTCTAGCCTTAGAATAGAGGGTCTAATGCTTACGGATTGCCCGCTGTCAACATGTGATTTGCGAGACAAACAGCTTTGGGCTGTGATGTAGTACCTGACGAACACAATATGACCACAGTCTGATCACCGCCCAAAAGCAGCGATTGTGGTCTGCAATTAATTAAAATTGTTGAATAAATCTTAGAACCATTTTGAGACATGAATGCATTTCAACTTACTGATAGAACATCTCAGTCTTTGTTGGGGAAAGCAGTTCCTCTATATACGTCACACCCTCCACTTTACCCGTGACTGTGATCAGTTCAGGTGTCCAGGCTGCACTCGCGGTCTTTAGCTTCTCATAGTCGACGGCATCGCAGAAGATTAGCTTGGGCTTGGTTATTGTCAGCACGTGTGTAAGGGTCTCGTTATCCAAGATGGGATTAACTGCATGGAAGGGCGTGGCATTGAAGAGGCAGGCCACAGCGGCTGGTGTGACATAGGTGCTGTTCTTGGCCGAAATGCAGATGACGTCGTCGTGGCTTAGTCCACGCTGCTTTAAATTCTGTGCTAGTCGGACGGACCAGCTAAATATATCCTGGTTGGTTGCAGTTTTTCCATCCGCAAGGCATATCTAGACGTAGTAGAAAAAAAAGAGATTATTTAAACTACATATTTCCCGAGCCCTGAGCTTACCTGGCAAACGTTTTTGGGATTGTTTCTGAGATTGTTGTGAATAATTCGACCAACTGAACAATCAAAGTCGTACATGGGCGCGGGTTTCGGTCCACTCCAGATGCGTTGAGTTGGATCGTAGTTGGTTTTAGGTAAATCAACCATTTTATTTCAATTTTAGTTCTTTCCGCAGCAAGATTCAACCACTAAATAAAGTGTTCCTAAAAATAACACTCACTTAAATAGTAACGAATTCTCCTCAAATGGATAATCTTATCAGTATATGCTGAACTCACGATGAGTGTGTTTTAAAGAAAACAGGTGTAGTATCTGCCATAAACGTCATCACCCTTAATCAATGGAAGAGTCCGAGTCTTATCATATTTTTGGTAAAAAAAATACAACAGCACGTATTTCTTATGGGCATTGTCAATGTGGAAAGCTTTAAAAAATAATCTAATTGCTATTCACGTGAAATCAGATCTTATAGAAAACGTGGTAAGATTTGAATTGCCTGATAATCATGTTTAACAAATGATAATGATA